TCTTTTTGTAAATAGATTCTTGTTATATAGATATTAAAAATATTTGTTTCGATAATATTTTCTCGATCATTATAATAATTATAAAGGATAGGTTCTTTTATAAATCTATTCTTGATTTCCTGAAAAACCTATTCTGTTTTTTCATTTTATATAAAAGTTATTTCTTTTTTGATTATTTCGATAAAGAATTCTATCATTTTCGAGAAATCTTTTATAAATATTCGATAGAAATTGATAAATCCTAATATAGATTATATATTCTTAATATTCTTAAATTGTTTTTAGTTTTTTACTTTCTTTGTTTTTTTAGAATCTATATTTATTTATTTTAATTAAATAATATATTCTAGAAATATTATTTTTTGTATTTCAAATTTGTATTTCGATAGTTTGAGTCTTGAATTTATTTTTCTAAATATTTCGAATATTTTCAATATATATCCTTTGTATTTCTTCTTTTTCTGAAAGAAGATTAAGATATTATTCAGATAATAGATTATAAACAAATTGAACTTTTTGAATATTTTGTTGTTCTATTATTAATATATAATTGATATATTAATTAATCTGAATAGTATAATTATATATTTTTATAAACCTAATAATAAAATAAAGATTGTCTTTTATTTATAACTCTTTTTTATTTATATTAAATTGAAAGTATTTTTTTGATCTAATTTTATATAGATTATAACTCTATTCAACTTATTTTTAAATTCCTAAACTTTTGGTATTGGATATATATCTCTAATTGTTTTATTATTAATTCGATAATAATCTTTGCAAAGCTAATTATCTAAATTGCTTTTTTTAAATACTAATAATATATTGGATATATAAAGGGATTTGGATTTCTTAATTTATTCTTTCTTTTTAGTTTTGATTTTGTATTCTTTTTATATTTGTATAATATTAGAATTGTATAACCTCAATTTTTCAATAAAGAATACAAATCCTTTTTTGAAATTGATTTTATGATTTTAAGGCTTATATTTTAGTAAAGCTTTTAAATCTTAAGGATTTTCGAAAAGCTTAACGAATCTTCTATATTATACTAAAATTTCTTTTTCATTAATTCTATTGATCAATGAAGGATCTATTATTATTATAATATAATATTCTATTTTTCAGGAAATCTGTTCTTTTAGATCATATAGTTATTTGTTATTATAATTGTAATGATTGAATATTAAAATATCTTTTATTCAATCAATATTTGGATTATATCTTTTAATCTATAAGATATTGAAAACAATTATATATTTGTTTAATAGTATTAAATCCATTTTGATTTACTTGATATGTTTATTTGATATAATTATTTTGATAATATTGATTTCTTTGTATATTCAATTATTAATCCTAACTTTCTTTTCTTCTAATAGTATCAATTGATAAAAATCCTATTTTAATTCTATAAGAATTCCATTTTCTTTAATAAAATTAAGATTTATTAATATATTTATAATCTTGAAATCAATTAAAGTATTAATTTATTGATTTCTTAGTTTAACTTTTATAATTAATTGTTTGATTTCTATAATATTATTAAGTTCTAACGATAATAATTCAATAGTTTATTCTTTGATAAAAAGATTCAATTATTTTTATTAGTATTTGTTTATATTTAATAATTGATAAGGTATAATAAATAATAATTCTATTGATTTTGTTTGAAAATCTTGATAATAATTTTAATTTAATATTTCTTTGTTATCTTTATTAATCTTTTGCTAAATATAACAAATCTCAATTTGTAATAGAATTTCCTATATTTCTTCAATTTTCAAATTATATTTGTTATATTTTTATATTTCGTTAAAGAATAAAGATCTTATATCTATAATATATCTTTTAATATTGTTTATTTCAATATTTTTCTGAAATATTATATAGTAAATATTATTATATATTATTATATAGAATATTAACAAAATAAAATAGTTATAGATTCTATATTTCTTGATGAAATCAGATTTCTTTTTTTTATAATAGTATTATATTTGTTTCTTATTTAAATAATTGATTAAATATTATAATTTATTTTTCTGAAATAAATAATAAGATTCAATTGTTTGTTGATCTTTTTCGAATTTTTTGATTGATTCTTTGTTTTTTAATTCGAGGTTTTCTGAAGATTCTTTTTTGTAATTGATATTATTCTCAATACTAGTTCTAAAGTTTTAATTGTTGATATTTAATTCCTTTAATTATTCAAAATTAAATTGAAATAGATCTTTTTCTAATAATCCTATTTCCTTTAAATTTTCTTTTAAAATTCTTGTTTTTCGAGAATCTTGTTTTCTATTCCCAAATTTCATTTGTTTCTTGTTTTTTATAATAAATAATTTCTTCTTTTAAGAATAATTTCAGAATATATATCTATTTTTTCTATAAATATAATATAAATTATTCTCTTTGTATCTTTTCTTTTTATTAATATTTAAATTGTTTGATTTTATATAACATTATTCAATATTATTCAATTTCATTAGATTGCTAATATTATAATATTTATTTTGATAACAAAGTTTTTGGAACTTTTTGTCTTTCTAAATAATTCTTTTCTTCTTCATTCATTATTTATAAAATCGATTATTAATAAGAATAAAGGTTTCGATTAATTTAAAAAAATTAAATAGTTTCGGAATTTTTGTTAATTTGTTTTTTATAATATCTTTTAATTCTTTATAGAATTATAATTTTAAATAATATATTTAATATATTATTAAAATTTAATAATATAAATTGTAATTGATCTAATCTATTTGAATTGTTATAATATTCTTTTAGTTATATGATTGGGATTTATTTTTTTGAATATTTTATCGAATTCTTATTTGAACGATTTATAATTGAAGAAGAGATAATAAATCTTAGATTTTATATTTTCGTTCAATTAATTATTAATAATCTTAATTATTAGATTATTGAAAAATGATTTAATCTAATTAAATATAATTTTTTAGAAAAAGAAGATCAATTATAAAATTCTTTATATAAAAATTAAAAAAAGTTATTTGTTAAAAGTATAATAAAGATTAATTTGTATTACAAAAGTTTGATATTTGTTATAATCTTTATAAAATAAATTAAAAGTGGATATTTGAATTGTTTATTTATATTCTATAATAATAGTAGTTTGAACAAAAGCCCTGATTGAGTTAAATAAAGATGATTCAATAGATTACTAATTGAAAGTTATTGTATTATATATAATTTAATTGTAATAATATTTAAAGTATAATAATCTAATCGAAATAATAACTATTTCAGATTTTTGTATAATTAATAATTATAAATTAAGATTAATAATTATTAATTATTTATTCGAAAATGAATATATTATTAAATTAATTGAAATATAAATAAACTAATTGATAATTAAATTGAATATAAAGTTTTTAAATTATAAAATTATTTTAATTATATATTAATAAATATAAAGAAGTTTTGTAAAATCTTAGAACTTTAAAAAGCTTTTGAAGTTTTAGAAGTTTTTGAAACTTTTAAGATTCTTTATCATATGATTAGGATCAGATTATATATTCGAATTTATTAAAAATAAGGAGATTATATAAAATGATTATTATACAAATTTATATACAAATCGCCTTGCTTTTCGATAAGACCTAAGCTTATATAAACACATTGACTGCTGCCCCTCAATATATCCTTATCTTAATCGTAAATCGTGACACAGGACCCCCGAAAGCAACAATTAAATCATATCCCTTCTATAATCGGCATATAAATCACCGACATCAATAATACTACTATAATAAAAACCATAAATCGTGACACTTGTATACAAATTTGTATAGTAATCGCTTTATATAATCTCCCCACCTTCAACAAACTCGGACATATAATCTGATCCTAGTCACGTGATAGAGCCTCGAAGAGCCTACACTCCTGAGGGCTCCCGAAATGGATTAGTATATAATCAGAATAGTTTCATAATTTAGAAGCTTCATACTCAACTTAATTATCAATTAATTTACCTACATTTTAATTGATTTAATAACGAATTCACTTTCAAATAAATAACCAATAATTATTAACCTTAACTCACAACTATCAATCATACAAAACCTCAGGCAGCCGCTGCCTCGACTAGATCGTTACACATTCTTGATTGATATATAAAAAGTTTAAAAGAAAACAATTAATAAAATTGATAATTATAAAAAAGATAATTATTATATAAAAGAATTGAAAAATAATTATTTTTTATATCTTCATCGAAATCAATTCTTTTATTATTTAATATTATAAGTTTCTTATTATATTAAAATATTAAAAGATAAAATAATGATTATTGAAATTATAATTGAATTAATATTTGTATATTTGCTTTAAATATTTAAATTTATTATGATTTTGTTATATATCTATTTAAATAAATAAATGTTGTAATAATAATATTGAAACTTTTAATAATAATTATATTTGAAAAAATCTTGAAATATAAATATTTCCTTTTCTAAAGATTTATTTGATATATTATTTGATTTAAAATATAATAAATATGTTTTTGTTTATTTATCATTTGATTTATTATAAAATCTTCAAAAGAATTTATCATTTTAAGATTTCTGTAAAAGACATTTGAAATATCTTTATAAGATTAATTGATTTATTATAATAAAATAAATATAAATAATTTATCAAAATATTAATTAATATATATAATATTATATATATAGTATAAAAAAGAAGGTTTGAATATTTACAAATTATATATCATATCAAGTTTTTTGTTAGATTTTTTATCGGGGTATTTTAGACCAATCAGATTGTCAGGATCGCAACTCATTTCACGATCAATCATATCGCAACCTTAAACGAACCTCATTTTCCATTGCTCACCAAGTAAACCTTGTATATAATAAGATTATAGAATCAACAAGCCGACAATAAATATATATCATTAATATTATAACCTATAAAAGATACAAATAATTCAACATTTTATCCTCTACTCACTCATCATCGCTACCTAGCTAGTACTGATGCACACAACACTTTAAATATACTTGCACTACACGATCTGGAGAAATGATATAAATGAAAAATAAAAAGAAATACTGTAGATATAATATAAACACAGAAGATGTAAATCGTTGCTTCCTCTCTTGTCACTATTATATGAAGTTAATGAAGGGAAGAGCTGTGGTTCCTGTTACACTTAATCGATGCTGAAATTAAATCAAAGAAATAATCTCGAAAAACACTTTTCCATCCACGATATGACCACATCTCACAAAGAGTATAATGGCTAGACATGTATGTGCATAGCCTTGTATTTGATCTGATTTAATCTCATATGACTTCATGGCTCCAATCCTATACTGTCGTTTCTTCCCATCGTCTCCTTGGTATACTAAAAAAAAATCCTCGCTATCAAATGCATTTCATTGCCTCATTTCACAGGAAGATTGTAGTACTAGCACCTTAGAGCATCTCCTTAATTTGCGCGTGGTATCTTATCTTGCTCCAAATCCTCCATATGCTACCTAGACAGTAGGCCAGCCATTTCCACGTGCGTGGGTACTATCTTTGCAATTAATCCATCAAACCAAACGCCAAACTCCATGACACGTCCTGTCCCCACCATTTTTTCCACTTCCCGAAACCTGTGAGATTTTGTTCCAAAGTTTCGATAGGTCGCCGCTAGATGGGATCTATATTAATCGTTGACACGTCTCTTCATTTCATCTCCCTTTTGCAGCGTCAATCTTCTGCCGCAGAGCTTCATTTCCCTGCATTAATTCCTCCAACCAATCCGCCGTCATCACCAAGATTGCACTTTTGCTGAACCCACCACCTCTTAGTCCTGGTACCAATTCTCCTAAATCTTCAAATCCTTCCCGAATCAAGGTTCTACGTTTTTGCTCACTCTTGATATGATTTTCTCGCTTTTGATCTTCCGTCAGGTTCTCCCTCGTAGGTTTTGCAGTGGCCGAGGTAGATTTCCGCCGTTTGTGACCTGCCTCAGATGGTCCGGGTGAACAACCACTACCTTTCACGACGGACTTCCTCTTTTTCCTCCCGTCGCCTTTGGGTTGTGATTCCTCCTGATCTTCTCCTCCGTCTTCCGTAAGATTGAATTTACTTTTCCGTCGTTTCTTTGGTGGTTCCACATCTTCTTCTTTGATAATCCCTGAACTTTGGCGACGTCGTGTGGGTAAGGTTCTTTCCATCGTCGGACTACTTGGTCTCGTATTCTCGGCACTGCTCTCCGCCCCCAAGGCTGCCCCAATAAATTCATCCAACGCTTGTAGTCTTTTGCTTTCCACCTCCTCAATCTTGGGCGTATTCGATGGTGGAATAAATCCTTGTGGAGATCCGAATCCTGCATCAGAGCCCCATCTTATATCAACCTTTTGAGGAACCGGTTTAGGTCTTCTCATCAGATCTGGACCGGCGTGATTGGGACCAAACATCATTTCTGTGAATAACGTGTCGCGCATAAATCCATCGCGTGGTCTATCGAGTCCTGATACTGGGGTAGGATAATGTGACATGGATTGTGGTCTGATATGATGATGTGACGAGTGCGATTGCAAACCGTGATTTCCAAATAATGTTTCACTATGCAGACTATGCGATCGCGCATTTGAACCATTTTGTAATACGGTGGCGGCTGCCAAAACATCGGCAGATGTTGTTGAAGGAGGTAAAGGAGGTTGAGATAGCGGGGGGTGCATTCCGATATTCCTGTCACCAAAATTTGTGGACATTTCATTCGAAAGTTGAGGTTGTTGATCAAACGTCACCCTCGTTCCCATAAATGTTGGAGGAAGTTCCTCCCAGCCTCCACCAAGTTCCCCTCCATCGTGTGTATTGGGAAAGAAGTCGTAATTAAAATGATCGGAGCTTACACCATCGAAGAAGCTGTCGAGAAGATTGGATTCGCTATCGTCGAGTAATGGAGGACCCGGTGCTGGGGCTGTGGGTGACGGGAAAGGGAATATGGAATTGGAATCAAAGGCATCTGACGCGCCATATATTATTAGTACATGGATTTTGTACTCACTCTTAACGTTCAGTAAATAGAAAGGTACTTACAGCCAAACGGCATATCGAGGTCGGGTGGCTTCGACGAACCCATATTTGGACGTTGAAGCGCAAGCATGAGTGCCAAAAGAAAATTGATTGAAAAGGGAAGATTCGTGACAGGACCTTGGAAAGATTTGTTTTCTTTTTTAGAAGAGTACTGAGGATTGAGTAGGTATTTTCGTATGTACAAGATGATAGATTTTGCGATTCGGCGTTATTAGATAGCTGTGTAATAAAATAGTTGTGTGACTGGTGGTAGTTTGTGATAATCATTTGATATTCTCGGTGGTTTTTGGTTTTTGATTTCTCATTTCTGATTCCTTGCGGAAAGAAAGGGCGTGATGGAAGTCGGAAAATTAATATGTTAAAGGGAAAGATGATTCCTTCATGATGCTTTGTGAAGGGAATGAGAAATATATGAGTAACATTTAATATGCAATGGAAGATGGAAGATGGATTCTTTTTGGAAGTAAATAATTAAATATTTAGGAAATTGAATTTATTCCAGAACTGGTCTTTTTCTCCCAAGTTTTGGAAGATTTTAAGGTTCGAAGAGTTGTTGGGGAAAGCTTTAGGTACCGGTAGTGTATTCCGATGGAGGTGAGGGTGAGGGAGAGGGAGAGGGAGAGGGAGGGAGGAGGTACAGGGCCTGCACTAAGATTGATATGATGGATGGATGGATGGATTGATTGATTGATTGATGGATTGATGGATTGATGGGCCCTTTTTTTGGTGGGGGAAGGCCAAAATGAATTTGTGATGCCAGTAAATTAGATAGAGCAAGTAGGTGCGTCTTATTACTAGATAATCAAAGCATCTTCTTTAGTGCGGTGGAGGTAGGTCCTCTTCCTTTCAAGGGTTCTTTTAGGAAGGAAGTGGGAAAGGGAAATGGAAGGGGAAGTGGGAGGGGGGGAAGTGGGAGGGAAGAGGGGAGAGGGAAGTGTCCCGTTGATCTACAAGATGGTCTCGATCTACTTTGTAAGGTTCTCGCTTTGAACTTCCATTTTCTTTGGGGGACGGAAACTAAGAAAGAGGACAATGAATCAGGACAATCAATAATAATAGACTTTGTCCTCTATGGTCGCTTTCAGAATTCTTTTTATAATTTGGATTCATGTACTGGGTATTAGGTACTACTTTCCTGTGTATAATGTAAGATGAAGACGAAGAAGGACCGGTGTTTAGTTTAGAATCAATCGATAAATGTTTTGGATAGAATGGAGTTGTGAGAAAAAGTGATATCTGGATATAGATATGATGTGTATCATGGAATGAATGAAGTGCTCGAGGTAATGAAGAATGAAGTCAGAGAATTAGAACGGGAAAGGAAATGAGGAATAACAAGGCCATGTAATTAATAAGACTTGGATGTAAATAGATGATTTTGTAATAAATTAAGTAGGTTTCTTTCTTTTGACGCTTGATTCGGGAGAAGGTTCATGGAACAATCACATGTCAACATCTCTCTCTCTTTTTTTTTTTTTTTCCTTTCTCCTCTTGTTCTCTCTCTCCCCTCTCTTGTGCCGCCGCCCGGTCTTTTTTCTTCATTATTGCCGTCGGGCCGTTTTAACTAAGCAAGCCTCGCTCAATTGTTGCCCCGCCAAAATGAATCCTTGTTGATACTTGTGAGGGGAATATGGAAATATGGAAATATGGAAATATGGAAATATGAAATATGAAATATGAAATGTGAAATGAAGTACACCTAGATTATATTAACAACTAGGGAATTTCAGAATTATATTGGAGGGTATACATTATTTATTTATTATTAGGTACTGTATGATGATGAGAAAAGACCCGTGACTGCAGACTTGAGGAGCTCAGAGCTAAGACTCTCCGAGGACCAAACATCTATATTACATGTTGACCTTGTATATAAGATCACATCGCATCGCTGCACCAAAGTAATCACGATTTATACACCTGCACTAATCATATCATCATTTATTCAACATTACGACGCGTATGTATGTATCATTGTACCTGCATCAACGACCCCTCCCTTTGCCCTTCACCATCTTTTGCTAATCTTACAACAGACACGGCTTTTGTTTTGCGAATTGATCATCATTATTTGCAGGGTTCAAATCACCTCACTTACTTCAAAAATCACTTACTTCAAAATTCACTTACTTCAAAAATCACTTACTCCTCACAGGTAAAGACTTACAATTACAATGTGCATCTCCAGTTCTCAACCCTTACAAGTTAACTGTTAATCTAATCCATCTTTGCAGCAACTAATTAACTTTAACAAACTGATTCCATCGAGTGGTTTCGCCATTTTCCCAGTTCTAGAGTTCGCTCAAGTATCAATAACTTCCTTCTTCTTTCCAATAAAACTTTGCATGCTCCCAATGTGCCGTCTTTCATCATCCTAGGTTATCAATTCGGTAACCAAATCAAAAAGAGCAAAGTCAACAAATGCATCAAAAATTACATGCTTCAATCCGGTCTGTGGTGGAACAACCAAGATATCTCAACATCTTATGAGCACTCCCGCGATTTTAACGTGTCAAAGAGTCATTATTCATTATTCATTATTCATTATTCATTATTCAATCTTCAACAATAAAACTACTCTAGACTGTCTATGTATACGAGTATCCCGACTTCCCCCAGTTCTTTCCTTAATTTCTCGAATTCTTTTTGAGGCACCGAGGTAAAAATACATACCCACGGCACGGGGATTTTACCTTCTCCATCTCCCTCCGCATTTTCATCAATCCTCATTCCGGGGGAGAGTACCTAAAAAGGATACTTCTCTCCACAATAGGGTATAATTCAGCCACCACCAGAAACTCAAATTTCGCAGGTAAGATCTCATGATATCCTTCCAACATTCATTCGTTATTACCGAGTCGGCCCCGGTATGCATTCGAGGACATTGCAGTTAAAATCATACATACCTACATTACGATGCTGGTAAATACCTCTTTTTGACAAGGCCTTCGCAGGGCTAAACCATTTGTCATTTGATTTTGTCATCCGACGATATAATCAATTTGTTGGCGACAACTGCAGATCTAGTGTCTGCTTCATGGGATGCTAATGCTGACCTTGGACAGTTGACTTGCATAGGGAGAAATCTTGGTGCCCAAAGACTATCTACTGCACAATGCAAAACCTACCACTGAGGAAAGCTTCTCTGAATCAAAGTTTTGATAAAGCGATTCCTATAATATTACGACCACTATTTCGCGCTTATATCTTGGGTTATGCATCAAGCGCAGGACCAAGACTATTAACTCTTTTCTTGATCCACTTGAGTCGACATCGAAAGAATATTGATCCAAGACCTGTAGGGGAAGATTACTTTTGGAGTTCATTAGTTCAGATTTTGAAAGGGGGGTTAGAAATACAGAGGTTTCCAACATTTTGTGCCGCCCTGGTTGGTGGAAGTACTTTACTACAGGCACGTGAGCTCGCCATGGGAGGCGAGCATGTTGCTGACTTAATGCCTAGATTCCTTTACGAGCGGTGTTTGAGAAATTATTGGGAAATCTGCCCATAATCACACAGCTGAGGTATGTTGGTCTTAGATACGTAAAATAAGCCACACCGGATGCGAGGTAAAGAGCAAACGGAACCAGAAAGGGACCGGATGTCTGCATCATGTTGCGGCTTTGGCGCCCTCTACCCGCATCTTTTGGCACCAGAAATCATAGTATCAATTTTGAAGTCCTCGTCCTAACAAACATTTTTCCAGGCTCACTCGATACCTATCAACATTGATATCAGCTTACTTCAGTCTACAACTCCTCCAATCACGTCCAAGTAAAACCTTTACTGAAGACCTTCCCCACGAAACGAAGAATGGCGTAGAGCTTCGGCCCACTAGGTTTGCGGGAAGAACTCTGGATTTGACTCTCTTTGCTTTCACTCGAGCTCTTGATTGTGTCGTTGGAGAATTATGGGCTCAACGTAAGAGCCGACGACAAGCCTCTGGGAAGTGGTCGAGAGTAAGTTTTTGCTCACTCGCCAACAGCATATGAATTCAGTAAAAGGCTAAATACCCCAATAGTTAGATAGGATGATATCATCCATCACCGACCCGACCCTGTTCGCAAGTTCCTGCGCTCTAATCATGTGGGCATTCATTTACACACCCGCCCGACTTCCCCTCGCCTACAACAAGTGGATTAAATCCGCCGCTCAAGTGGATTCTCGTTTACTTAAAGCTCTTCGCTATTGTCGCTATGGTGAACTAAAATATGGCGTTGAAACGGGTCAAGCACACCTTCTAGGAGATATGTGCAAAGATTATGGTCTACCAGAAGAGTACGGAGATCCAACAAAATCGATTCCATTTCCTTGTGAATTAGTCCACATGGGTGCGGGTCCGAACTGCGAATTTCACGCCGTGTCAAGATTCTATAAATCATTCATCTGGTCTGCTTCAATGTATTTGCCACTGAACTTGGCACTTCTTCTCCGCAATCCAAAAAATTCTACAAAAGCCTTTGCCCACGCCCTTAAATCATCAGCTCGTTCCTCGGCTTTCCTTTCTGCATTCATAACGCTCTTCTACTACGGAATCTGTCTCACTCGTACGAGATTCGGACCGCGTGTATTCGGTACCTGTCCGCACGCCTGTCAAGCCATCGACTCGGGTTATTGTATAGGAGCCGGATGCTGGATGTGTGGATGGAGTGTACTTATAGAAAGTGCAAAGAGGAGGGAAGAAATGGGGTTATTTGTTGCCCCGAGAGCGCTGGCGACCTTGCTGCCGAGGCGATATAGATGGGAGGAGCAATGGATTGAGAAGGCTGTTTTCGCCTGGGGAACAGCAGTCGTTTTTACTTGTGTGGGGGAGAACAAAGATCGGATTAGGGGCGTGCTGGGGAAGGTATTGAGTGAGGTTTTGAACGCTGGCGGTGGGTTCTAGGGAGGCCGGTTTCAATGGATGTACCAGTAAGCGCCTAAAATATAACTTGGGGCATGATTCAGTCGATGAGTCTTTATGACCTGTGAAGAGTGAGCTTATATGTTGATGGCGGAAGATTGAATATTGTACAACAATACTACGAGACTCCAATGAATTTTTCCAATTCCACGGTATGACTTTATTTGTTTTGTATTTGTGCTTTGGTTGATTACCATGGGTTCTTCAATGACTTGAAAGTTCAAGTCATCAAACCGTCAGGTGCGGTAACCTCGAGAACGTTTTTTTTACATAGCTGGAACAGTTATCTCCCAAGAAGTACTGAAACATTGTCGTTGTATTTCAGGATATCCTTAAGACTGAGGCTCTCCAGAACTAGTAATATCAATGCACTGATAGACAAATTCAGAACACGGAATGAGTTAGATCGATGGAAGACTTATTGGAGCGTGGTAAGTTTGATGGTGCAGCCATACAAGTGAAGGCATGGACAACAGGACTAATGAAATTCGAAGTCTTTCATGGCACACTTCATGAATAATATGAGGCGGACTACCTATCAGTATCTATGAGTTGCAGATTATTTCTGTGTAGTCTACAAACGATAAATTGAAGAATTATATTTCATTGATCGGTCCCGGAATTTCATGAACAATAACTGAACATAAGTTTAAACTTTAAACCGTGTTGCACATCAAAACATTGGTCTTTAAACAGTTCTTGAACAACAACAGGTTGATTGAGCATCACAATAAGTATTGTTCGTACAATAAAAATAACACAAGAACAACCATCAGACAGTATCCCTCCGAGATGTATTTATATTCAAGATTGCGCTCTCTGTTTAAAATATTCTCTCACCATCATCTACACATCTTAAGAATATTCAAACACATACAAACTTTGAAATATTCAGATCATTCAAACCTTCCAACAAACTCAAACTACCACACAACCAAAAATGTCGGACCAAGCGCCGCAATACGTGCAGGCACAGTACCTCTGTGTCCTCTGCTGGTACGAACAGATCAGATGTTGCGCCTGCGGGCAGATCATTTCTCAATTCATCACCGAAATCTGCCCAACTTGCGCGCAAGCATATACAAAGCCTAGGTTCAATGAAGCAGAGGTCCGGTGGGTTGAGTATTGCCCAGATTGCCAGGCTGCCATGCAGGCTCAGTCTGGGTAGGTCAGACAATCGGTTCTCCATCCTTTCCTTTCCTTCTCTCGTTTGCTAGATCGCCAGGTCGGTCAGTACATTGTTCTCTACCCTTTTCTTTCTTCTTTCATTTGCTAGATTGCTAGGTTAGTCAGTACATTCCAGTTAGCTTCTAGCTAGCTGTCTATTAAGGAAATCCCACCCTCCCAAACAAACACTTTCCTTATGTAGATCATTTGGAGTAGGTAAAAATATGTCCAGGAGGCGACTCTAGGACTCAGAAAATAAAATAAAAATGCTTTCCTTTGTAACTACTTAGACTTTATAAATGTGAATTCAATGAACTTGATAATATATGCCTTGATTGTGTTCTTGGTCTATTAGATCAAAGCCTTATTTGATGACAAAGAAACAACTACAAATAATCAATGAAATCTCTTATTGTTCCAATGTTGTACTGTTGTTATACAGAGACGAACTAAAATAATACTTTAAATGTTTTGTAACTTCTCCTCTTTTCAATATAAACTAAGAAAAAATACTTATATGAAGGGCATATATACAGAAAAGATATATTTCTGTTAATGAAAACGATAAAAAGAATTCCTATTGATTTTATTGATTCAATTTGAATGGGAGTAATGGGATATAAAGTATAAAGAATTATATAATTAAAAGGAATTCTTTTTATAAAGCTTTGTATTCAAAATCAATTATTTAGTATTTATTATTATTAATTACAAATTATAATCTGTCGGTATATTATGTGATCAACCTCGAAAGGGAGGCTGTATACAAAGAGAGCTGTACGACTAGTGCATTCTAGCCCGTACCCCTTTCAATATAAATAGGTCCCTCTCCTCTAGATAGATAATAATCATCCATGAACAAATACAACAATAATACAATTACAATACAATAAGAATCACCAAAGTGATACTAATATAATCATTATTACTTTAATCTTTATTTGATATCTAGATCACAACTCTTGTAATATAAATATAAAAAGATTTATATATTAAGATACCAGGGGCCTGCGCCCCCCGGACCCCTGACTTTTCAAGAAAGTCTAATGAAAATTTAAGTTTTAAAAAGTTTATAATATATTTAAATATTGAATATATATTAGGGTGCAGGTAAAATTTCAACTTGTTTTTGATAATTGAAAATTAAATTTTTTTATTTGAAAATAATAATAATTATATTATTATTATTATTATTATTATTATTATTATTATTATTATTATTATTATAAGTTGAATGAGATAAATTGAATGAATAAAGTTAAATTGAATGATTTCAATTGAGTTGAGTTGAAGAAAGTTCTAAGTTAGATTTATTTAAGATTGTAAGGCTTGCTTATATCAAGCTTTTTATTAGATTATTTACCGGGGTATTTTAGACCAATCATATTGTCAGGATCGCGATTCACTTAAGCGAGTTTCTCATTTTCTACGATTTACATCGGGTAAATTGCGGTACACTACATGTATAGCAAGGTTTTGGTGTCGGCAAGCCGACAATAATAAATTTTTAACAAAAGTACACGAGCCTTCTGTTTATAGATTATAGCTTTAATAGATAATCCACGGATATATATAAGTTGCGGATTATTTCTGCGCAGCCTACAGCCTAGCGAGTAACCAGCTCTTTTCTGCACTCATTTATCTCCATGACTACAGATTCGCCGGAGTCTGAATCAGTAAAGGCTAGGGATGCATAGAGATGCATCTTTAATCTTCCTAATCGGTCTTTTTTTCTACAGCTCTTTTAAGTTCACTTCCCTTATCAAGAATAAATCTTGCCGGTGGCTATTAGTGCTGATAAGATTTCCATACATGTGACTAAATTAATCATATTCCATCACCCACCTATTTTAATCCAATCTGACAAAAGATGATTATGTTTAACCATCAGATCAACTCTATATACTGATCTTGGTTATCGGAACGCAAGAAGCCTTCTTTTGTCATCGCCTAGATATCTGAAACACTCTTTGCGGCAAGGATCGAAACGCAATCTCTTCTTAAGAAAGCATGAAATACTTTCTATAAATAATTTTCATTAGTTGATTTTTTTTGAAAGAAATAAAACCTCTCAATTGAAACCTTTATATATTCACAATCTCAAATTAGCAGTATCAATAGCTTCTTTGGAACTCTTCTCAACTTTTCTTTTCTATTCAATGTTATACGAAAGTCACAAACCATCTTGTAGTGGCCAATGCCGGGCTCCTCGGATGTGAAGGCTCAAAGCAAGCTAGTTCATAGAAGTCATGACGAATATAACGAATAACACATAATAAATGAAAATGAAGGAAGATTTTTCGCAGTTCATTTTTCAAGGGATGTTATTTTCTCAAAATAGAAACCGGCCCGATTCTATCTCCCCATGCTGTGATTTGGTTTGGTTGCGCAGATTAGATTAATTCTAAATGCTCATACACAACCATCATGGTGGATGAAGAGTTACGCTCCATTAATGCTGGTTTAGGTTGCAATTGGTGCATTACATTTCAGAAGTAAATTTTTACAAAATCATAAATGTATTCAGAGTTACAGCCGTTGTATTTGGAACCTTTGCTAGATATTCGGCCCAATACAAGAGATGGTTGGAGTATGCTGGAATTAAATTAGTGTAGGAAATAAGTAAGTCTTACCAAACTTTCTTGAAGAAGTGAAAAAGGACATGAAAGCAGTTGAACCAAGCTGTGCTATCCATTCTAGAGTATAGATCTTCGATTATAAGCCTAAGGTCTAATCACATACTCCGTCACGTATGGTCCAAAGCCAACAGAGGAAGCCAAGAAGAATTAATGAAAATATTCTAGGGGTATGGGACGAATCAGGAAGTTCAGGATGTATCTCAATGAAGAAATACCATAAAAAGTATCGGATATCTGAGGCCAAAAAAATTGGCCCTCTTGTTTTTAACACATACATTTCATGTGCCGAAAGTTATTTGCTTTTTGACAGAGTGTCCATGTTTTGAAAACGCTTTGTTTGAAATAAACAGCCCAGTAAGAAGGGCATGACAATTGCTGATGGAATCGGTGTAAAATGTTGACTCTAAAACATAATTCAAAATAGCAGAACTCAAAGATTGCACCCACGCTGCACCAACATCCATGTAGAACCTAATGAGTTAGAATTACTTGCTAAGGAAGTAAGTAGCCTTGATGAAAATGTCACTCGGTATCCATATCCTGTAACTTTTCTTTCACATTCATGAGTGGTACTTCTATTTGACTAGATACCATTGAACCCGACATTGGTGAAGCGATTATTAAATTAATGAGCCGAAATCTAAATTAGTAAAACTGAACAACTATATACATTGAGAATTATGACTATCGTGTCTGTGATGCTCAGTCATGGTGATTCTAGAATGAGCCCAACTCCGGACGCTTTTCTCGCTTCCTCTCCATCGACACCATTTAAATGTCCTCCTTAATCAAATCTGCCGCTCTCTCCGCTACAGCGTACAAAGTACTGACTAAATGTCCACAGACCTGCATAGGCAATATACTGGCATCCACAACTCTCACATTCGACGTCCCATAGACCTTCAATCTTGAATCTACTACTCCGCCAACCTCTCTTGGCATCATAGCAGCGGTTGATACTGGGTGGAAGTTGGAACGATAGCCAGCTTTAATCCATTCAGACCATTCCGCCTCGGTGGCGTTTGCTGATACTGTCTCCAAGCCTGGGTTAGTTTCTGAGCCAACCAGACTGGACAATGGTGAGGTAGCGTAGACGGAACGGATGAACTTGGCAGTGGTGACTTGCGATGTGATATCCCAGTCAAGCATGTAATAATTTGGATTGATTGCCGCGGGGGTGCCTGGTATCGAAGAAGTGATGTGGATATTTCCTCTTGCAAATGGTAATAGAGCCCAATACTCTGATGCGAAACCTGTTGCGGATGGCCTGACGAGGATTTCAGCCATGGGAATCGGATGGGTTTTTGAAAAAATGAGGTCATGTTGGATTTTGAAGAATTCTAACAAATGAGCGGCTTTTGTGATATTCCCAGACGCAGCCGAGACTTGTGCGGCATATGAAGGAAGAGAATCAAGAACATGAGTGGAGATATTTTGGATCTCAGAACCAAAGACTTGCGCTGCTGAAGGATATGCGACCAAGGTACCAACCTCAGAGAAGGAGGCGTCCTCTGAAACCGTGTATGCAAGGCCATTGTTCGTCTGATCCTGAAGATTTTCTCCAACAGTTGGAAGATCAACCACGACTGAAATGTTGTACTTGTTTAAGATGGAAGGATTTCCGATGCCAGAAAGTTCAAGAAGTAGAGGGGACGCCAGAGCTCCAGCTGAAAGAATCACTTCTGAATTTGCAGAAATGGTGTATGGGATGCTTGAGTTGTTGGAAAGAACCTTAACTCCATTTGCAGTGGGGATATCAGCACCAGATTTCCAAGTAAGTCGTTGAGCCATGGTATTTGGGTAAAGATGAAGGTTGGTGCGGTTTGCAATTGGATAATAGTATGCTCGTCCGGCATCATGACGAACATTCAAGGTGCTGTCGTAGGTAGCTGGGTAGCGATTATGACCAACCATTCTACCAGTGTTGACATCCTCATTCGCAAAAACACCGAGAGAAGCGTAGGTATCGTTCAGAGTTATGTGAAAGTCATCATTGGCCAAGTTGTTGAGCCAGCCAACCTTTAATTGCCCATCGACTCCATTTGCCCAACGATCGTATGTAGCACCGGATTCAGCTTGAGCAGCAGTCGGAGGTTCAATTCTCTGAGACTTCTTGTAGTATGGGAATAGATTCTCCCAATTCCATCCATGATTTCCCAGGGCTTCCCAAGCATCAATCTGAACATCCTCAGCTCGGGTATATGCCATCCCTGATCATGTTAGACATTGAATGCGAGATTTTAAGATAAACAGAACATACCATTGATCGTGCTAGTACCCCCTATGACTTTCCCGGCGCGTAAAGTCTGTGTAGCGTTCCCTGCATACTTTTGGTTGACTGTTTGGTATGCCCAGTCGATGTTGGTGCCGAAAGCCAATCCATAACCGGCCGGGTTGGTTATATTGACATTGTTATAGCCCGAATCACCTGCTTCAATCACGGCGACAGTGACATTCAACTCGGATAATCGGTTTGCAATGACTAGCCCACTTGTTCCACCACCTACGATAACATAATCATAAGTTAGACTAAGCTCGGGACTGGCAACAGCCAAGGATGCTAAAGCAACAGCAGGAAGTAAACGATTCATCATTGATGAAGGCAGTAGAAAAGCAAAGGATTGAAAGAGGAAAGAATGTAGTGGTGATGAGTAGGATAGATTGCATGAGATCCTACCTGAACTTATATAATGATTCCTCTCAGATCGATTACATAGTCAAGAGCTTATCTAGAGCTCTCTGTGAAGGTATAATCCGAATTAGAGTATCAAAGTGGACATACCGGCAGAGATAGGCCTTAATTTTGTCTCACTGCTGTGGTTCTTCCACCCAGCTAAATCATCCTGCCCACATAACAAAACCCTGAAAACCCGACCGTTGAAAAAGTAACTATGTTTGTCCATCAAATTTGTGGTTCCTGCATGAGATAAGAATCATGATCCACGATATCACGTCAATCACTTGATTGTGATATCCGCAAAGCCACATTGACAACAAAATAATACTGCCGAAAAAACCTTGACACAAGGATCTGCCTGTCTGTGCTCCCCAATTTGTCTCTACCGATTAAGTGCCGGCAGTTCGGTCGCCGCTTAAAGACCGACGGGACGATCCAAACGACTTCATCCCTTGGAATGGTGTCAAATCAAGACCAGGAAAATTCTCCTAGCCAAGAAGAGAAGGGCCGCAAAGTGTACAGCTCGATAGTACCGACGTTTGAGGAATATTGAAATGCGCACAGACGTATCAAACATAAATGCGGATGCTCGATTAGGCGATGGGTGATTTCTAATGATGATATAATCGTGTGTAGGTTACTCGTCAGCAACAGTATAATATATTTTTTCTGAAATAGACATTTTGATTGCCCATCTAAAAGCGCTTTCAAAATACAATCCACTTTATTTATTGTATAGATCTGATTAACTATCAACGTATATATAGAGGATTGATATAGTAGGCTAGTATAATTACGGAAGGTAACGACTTGAAATTGTATAATCCTTACACTGGATCGATATCCTCAAACTTAATACTATAATCTCATAGCAACCGGACCGAAAAGAGAATGAAGCCATATTTAGAAATAATGAGAAACCATTGCGATACTCCACTAATCGTCGTATACTATACGACGTATAGAGAGGAATGCATCCCGTATTCCAATACTTATGTAAAGGCTCAGAGGCTGGTGTTACGAGGGATGCGATCTAGATCACGTGGAAGTGGCCTGAATCCTCGAATGGTTTATAACTAGATATCAAGCAAAGGCTTAAGGTAATTGTTGGTATCACTTCGGTGATACGAATGCAGTGGTAAATGTTCATGGATGATTATTATCTATCTAGAGGAGAGGGACCTATTTATATTGAAAGGAGATCGGCCTAGAAGGCACTAGTCGTACGGCTCCCTTTATGTACAGCCTCCCTTTCGAGGTTGATCACATGATGTACCGACAGTAATATTAATAATTGTAATTCGTAATTAATAGTAAAGTATACTAAATAATTGATTTTGAATATAAAATTTTACAAAAGGAATTCTTTCCTAATTATATAAACCTTCATACCAGGGGCCTGCGTCCCCCGGACCCCTGGCTTTTCGAGAAAGTCTAATGAAAATTCAAGTTTTAAAAAGTTTATAATAAATTTAAATATTTAATATATATCAGGGTGCAGGCAGAATATCGACTTGTTTTTGATAATTGAAAATTAAAATATTTTATTTAAAAATAATAATAATATATTATATTATTTATAATATTTATAATAATAATAATATTTTATATTATTTATATTATTATTATTATTATTATTATTATTAACTTGAGTTGAATGAATAAAGTTGATTTAAATGATTTTAATTAAATTGTAAATTAAGTTGATGATTTCAATTGAGTTGAATGATTTCAATTAAATTGAATTAAAAAAAGCTCCAAGTCAGATTTTTCTGAGGTAGTAAGGCTTATATCAAGCTTTTTGTTCGATTATGTACCAGGGTATTTACCGGGGTATTTTAGACCAATCAGATTATCAGGATCGCGACTCATTTAAGCGAGTTTCTTATTTTCTATCATTCATTAAGTAAACCTTGTATATAACAAGATTATAGTATTGACAAGCCGACAATCAATTAAATCCTTTGAATTTAATAGACTTAGAATCTAATTTTCTAACTCCTCTAGATCCTTAAAATCCATCACATGACTAGGATCAGATTATATATCCGAGCTTGTTAAAGATAGAAAGACTCTATAAATCAATTATTATACAATTTTATATATAAATCGCCTTGATTTTTAATAGGGTCCAGGCTCATATAGACAGATTGACTGTTATTTTATAACAAATTAGAGATTGAAGTTTATATTTCAAGTTTTCAAAGATATAAAACAATATTATATTTCTTTTGAATATAATAAAATTTGAATTTTTCAAGATATACTATTATTAATATAAAGATGATATTGTTTTCATAATATAAAATTATAAAAACTAATTAAAGAGAAGAACTAATTAAGAGAACTTATTATCTTTCGATAAATGATGATAAATGATAGATGGGGGGCTGGATCGAGTGGGGGGTCTTGAAGGCCTATGATTAGAACTTGTATACAAGTTGAGGTGAAGGAAAGAGAGGAGCTTGATATGGTGTGGTGTATTGAGCTTGATACTCCTCATATATAAATTTTAATGATTAATAAACAATCAACTTTACAGTTTAGATACTCGAGGATTGCAATGATGGATGGACGGATGAATAGTAAGGGAGAGACAGGTGTGACATGTAATACCGTAAGACTACTGAAGTTATATAGTACATGTTGTGAAATTTGTAGTACTCTGACTTTTGGGCATTTTCTAAAAAGAGTCACTATTATAGATAGACAAGGAAAGTATAATACAGTATGATATGATATATATATTCATTCAGCGATTTATCATTCATCACATCATAATCTAGCCATTTAATCGTTCAAGAACTTCGAATTACTACCTATATACTTCTACAAATCTCTAAACATATTCTTCTTTCCACTGATTGCCTCCCTTTCACTCTGATCCATTTGTTCCCCATGGATTACCGCAATCTATCTAATATGCATTTATGATGCTTCCATGCTTGCAGCAATATATGTAATTATTATATCCCTCATAACGTCGTCCAGTCATTCCATCCATTTCTCCCGTCCGTCCAAGAGACCCAGCTCTTAGACCCTCCTCGGCGGTAAACTCCAGCCCGGAGATTTCTCATCACCATTTTCCAAGAATCCGTAAGAGCTAGTCGCTCTCATCTGCGCATCATCCGCTTCCCATCTCTCTCCCCCTTTCTCATCTCTAACCCATGGTCCTCTATTGGTATTTGCTCTTCCGCCGGGAACTACCCCTAACCTCTCTGATCCAATTTCAGTTGTGACAGGCGCGATAGATGCTTCGTATTTTGGAGCGGGCGCACCATCATACGGGAGATCATCAGCAGCTCCATCGCCTCCAAATGGCATTCGTATTCCTGTCTCTCCACCTGCTCGCATGTGCTCTTGATGCCAACCATCATTTGCATTTGAACCGAATTTTTCCTCTCGGATCACAGGTAGATGTTGATGAAGAAACCCACTACGATAGCGTGTGCTAGGTCCTGAACCGCCTTCCGCTCGAGATTTATCTCTTCCGCACATGCCAATTACCACGCGTACGAAACCAATGAAAACAATCACGAAGTAAACGATGACGAGTGAAGTAGAAATAAGAGCTTCTTGTTTAATGACAGCTTCCAATTTCTTGCCTACCTTCACAACTGCGTCTGTGATTTCGTCTGTGGTGGAAGTAGCAGGATTGGCGAGAAAGTTGTCATCCGCTGTGGAATTTGTAAGAGAAGCAGCGGCACCAAGTGAGAAGACGTCGGATTGGAATTCAGGAAACTCTACATGAGCATGATCGCTAACCCATGTAAGTCCCTTTTCGATACCAGCGATTTTAAGTCCAACCAAACATTCGAAAACGCCCATGATGGGTTTATAAAGAATGGTTCCACCGAATGTGACGTTGAGAGCTTTGGTCATCTCATCCGTAAAGACATTCAATGTCTCGTTGATAGCACCCGTTGTTGTGTTGACCCATCCAAAAACGTTTTCATTGATTTCCGTGTTTGTGTTGTTGATGACAGAGTTTGCTCCCAAGGCCCAAGCCTCTGATGCATTATTCAAAGCTTGGACAACATGTTCAGCAAAATCTCCAACTTCAGCTGCTAGCGCCGGAATTTCTTTCTCGATTGTACGAAGAATGATAAATTGGCAGAGACAGGTGAAGAGACCGGCCATACCGAGGGCTAGTACAAAAAGTGCTGGGATAGATGTAGCATACGCGATGAACCATCTCGCGAGTATTTGATTCTTTTGGCCTTTGAATCTTCTTGACAATTTCAGACCGAATTGTGAAGTGTAGGGACGATGAGCTTGATAAAGGATATCCAACTCATTAGTGTAGTTTTGAGCTTTGAGCAAGGCAGCTCGTCTCTGCATGCTTCTCCAACCCCAAATCTCACGGTAAGCCATGGGAATACAAGCGAGGATGGCAGCAATGATGAGGACAATGAGCATAACTTTCTTGGCGATATTAAGTGTTTTGACGAGACCGACGAAGAAGTCTTGAATGGCGGTGTTGCCGGAACAAAATGTTAGCGATTTCTTTTGAGGGACCGGAAAAACGCTATCGTCAAATTTGTAACCAACCATTGATTCGTTGACAAGTTTCTTTACCTCTTCAAATGGAAGCTTGATGATGCTATCGGTGAAATTTTGCACTTGGTCAAACGTTGGAAGGGATGCGTTGAGTTTGGCAAGATCGGCGTCCATGGTTGTGGGATCAATCTGAATGGAGTTAAGTTTGTTGATCTCACTGCTCAAATCGATTTTTGGTGGTGAGGTACTGCTCCCAAAGATACCACCGATGTTGATCTTGGACAAGAAACCATTGAGGTCATCTTCGAATGATTTCAGTCCAGATGACATGTCGCCAGTGATGGTATCAATTGACTTGTTCATGAAGGCACCGACATCTTCGATCATTTGGATGGCGACTTGGAGACTACCAGTGATAGCCAACGTGATGAGACACATGTACGTTGAGGTCATCATATGAATGACGAAGAGAACGATTTCCTCAACTCCAGTAAGAGTCAAGTAAAGCATTTCCATCATACCATTAACAGCTTTTGTAATACCAGCAGCGGCCATGCTGTTGACACCTTGAGACAGATAATGAGGCATAGAAGCCATAGCACTTCCAACGTTCTCAACACTAGTACATGCTGATAATGCTTCAGTTTTTGCAGAGGCTATGTCTCCATTGATAGTGGACAAGGATATGAGAAGTCGAACAATGATAAGTAGTAAAAGAACCGTCCATCTATTGATCCAGGTTTGTGATAAACGTGCTCTAAGGCCAAGGTATGGTGTATAGTAGTCATCAGCAGGTGCGGCGTTTGTGTTAGGGTGGACTCCGTAATGGTGCATTTCGTGGTCGCTGTGGAAGGGAGAATTTTTGGAGGCGGCTTGAGTATGTTGACCCTTCTGGGCAGCTAAGTAACCTTTAAAAGCATCCATCTTGGTGATCTATCTTGTGAAATGTACCTCCAGGGTATTAAATATTGTTTTTTTGGATTTGCAGTGATGCAGTGTAGTCTGTCTAGGCAATCTATGCGTGGGTGATAGTTGATTTGATCCCCGAGCAGTAATGAGAGTTCGAGGTTCCACGAAGAAAGTCTAAAAGTCTTTTGAAAAGAAAGGTCGAATATGTTGTAGGAGTATTATAGTCGACTTGACTGTGAAATTGCGAGGTGGTTATTGAAGAATCGTATTGTGAATAATTAATAAATCTATTAGGAGTCACAATGAGTACTTGCTCTATTGTTTCTATTGTTGACGTCCGAAAATAGCCGAAGCGAAGGATTAATAGTATTTGTTGCGAGGTAATGACAATAGAAAAAAGAAAATTTAAAGTGAATGACTTCTGTGTAGGAAAAAGAGAGAAAGGAGGAGAAAAATGAACAATTTTGGCGAGGACATACACTTAATACAAGAAATATACAAAGAAGACCTGTAACCCGCGGGGGCCAGACTATCAAGCCGGGGAGCTGTTTTGAGGTCTGGGATGTTGAGACAGGGGGGGTCGATCAATAATACTTTGTTTCAGAATCACAGCAATATTAATTGTTATGGTCATCCGTTGATGCGCTGGAAATCCCAGAGGGATATTTGCTATCTGGTTCGTCCTTGGTGGTTGTTGTCTTGGTACGGGGGTACAAGGCGATAGCAAATGAGTGGGTTGATTCAGGTGAATTAGGCGCCGCTCTTCTGTAAAGATCTACTGACCAGTCGGTTGATAATTCCATGTATGGCTGACGCAATCGTTGAAATTCTTGGAAGGGAAATATACCTAATGACTTCAAAAATAGCTCTGGCGGGTACACTTCTGGTGAGGTATTCGTTCCAGTTCTTGTGATACCTTGAAAGGATTGGTATCTGTTGAGCGTTCAGGTCTTCTTCGCTTTCGAAATCTGATACTGGTATTACTGAATAAAAGGCTCGGATATGGATATCCCTGAGAGCAAAAATAATGAGCTTGGCCATATATATATACCGTAATAGAATAAGTTATCTATGGAGTAACCATAGCATCGTAGAAAATGGTGCGAACGTTGATGGTATGGGAGTACTCCATAATACGAGAGTTCCACCTCCGAGACCGACGAGATGAAAGTTCCCTCTCCATTCGCAAATATTATACCTATGGTGCCGATATAAATTGTCATGGTCTTGACTTCAGGACTCTCCTACTGTCATTCATCATTCATTGAATGAACTCGCGACTCCTTGGAAGCCAGCGAATCAGCAACGTGAAACTGAAGCTCGAAGGAAATCCAATTGCAAGACATATGCACGATGAAAAAGAGTGCGAGGAATAAAGGACCGCCAGCAAAAGTAAAGGTCTCCCATGTATCAGCGGATTTTCTTTACACAATTTTTGTGCAATGATTGATTCAGCCGAATTGATTTCAAAGGAAAAAATGATCTCCAGTAAAATAAGGGTCGTTGGTGGTGAGAACTTGCAGAGTAGAAGCAGGGCAGGTAAATCAAAACCATCAAAAAACTCGTGACTGAGACACTAAAACATTATGCATGAAAGATCCGCCGGTAGATGTAAACCTATAAACCCGGCAACAACCAACAAATCTTGATCTAGCTGCGTGTACATAATTAGATAGTAACATGTTTGCGCAATATGATAGGTAAGACTTACGTGAATTATTTATTTATTGTGCGATAATTACGAGTTACCGATACAATAAACGCCCAAGGACAAATTCACCCAATCAATTCATCATGTTTCCATGTTCAAATCTCAACATCACATCTCATTGGTTTTCGGCTTCATCCTCGTTTAGCGCCGCGCCACGGGCTGTGGCCTGCCTGATGACCTTCTCCATAATATCCACCACGGCACTGGGCGTCTAAAGGATCATGGACTCATGGAGAATTACTTGCCAGCTATGTCTGTGCATGTGCATGTGCATGTGCATGTGCATCCATAGAGCACGTACGGAATTTGGGTGGTCAAAAACTTTAATCAGAGCTATCACTTGTGTAAGGTTGAGAATAGATGTACATGGCAATGGTGAGTTTACAAGATGATTCTTTTTTTACATATACAATCCGTGTCATCTCTCCTCGCACAAAATTTAGTTCTCGCTCACAAGAGCCTTGACATCTGCCACGGCTGTCCTGGCCATCTTCTTCAAGAATGTCTTCTCATCTGCTTCTCGATATCTCTCCCATCCATCAAGTCCTTCTTTAGCTTGAATGCTCAACGTTTCGTACCCTTGTTTTATTACCCCTGCAACTTGTACACTCGTAAGGTGTTTTTTCTTTCCCGTCGACCCATCTGTGAGCAATTGGTTGTAGTGTGTGCTGACACTAATCAATGTATCTATTGAACTCTTCGGTCGTTTTCCAAGATTGTAATTGTCCCGGAACTTCACCAGTACTTCACCAGTTTCCACCAATTTGTAAAACAAGTCGTCGTATGCCACAGGACTAGGCAGGAATGCTTCGCCGGCGGATAGGGATAACGCAATTAGATTCACCACGTCATCGAGTAGTGTTTCGATGTTTAAAAGATTCTTTAGGTCCGTAGTGTAAGTGGTAAGGAATCGTACGAGTGCTAGTAGGGATCGGAACAATTCAGACCAGTGGTATGTAAGGCGTGTACGAGATCGTGAGAGATGGGAGATGATTCGTAATATGATGCCAACGCATAGAATGTAGAGATCTACATCTAATCTCTTTCTAAGATTATGATTTATACCATCAATCGCAACATCCAGTACATGAGCAGCAAATATCCTGTCTGCACGAACTAAAGGCAAAAATGGTTGTCTTTGCCGACATAATCGGACTGCCATCTTGCTCTCCTCACTGCATATCTTTTTGCATAGTACTTGATCTTCAATTAGAATTCGGAGGACGACGAGGTTAGTATGCGCATAGAAACCCGTTCGCGAGGATAGATGGGCGTGTTGCAGTATGTATGAGGTGAATGATAGATAAGCACTGAGAGGATGTTCGACTCCTTTTTCTACGGGTATCGATACCAAGTTGAAGCAGAATAGTTTATTTGCATGCGCAAAATCGTATGTAGCCAATAGAACAGCTGCTTCACTTCCAGGCCTATAGAATGGTAAGCATAATTCGAAAAATGTTTCCCATTTAACCTACAGTTTTGAAAACATCTCCTTTGCGGCATCTGGATCAAGGGTTGGGGTAGTCGGTTTCGAGCCAGGGGCAATTTTGCCTAGGCCTATCATACTCAAAGTGCTCCCAATTGACCATCCTTCTGGTCTATCATCCTGGATGGCAATATATCTAGCTCTCGATGTCGTACACGTATGGCCCACCGAACGTATTATCTTTTGTATAGTTCCTTCATTGACAAAATCGTCGAGACGTAACCTGTAAGGGTTCTGAAATTCGAATTTGTTATAATTAACTAGAAGTCCGAGGAGAGTAAATGGTTCAAATGCTAGTGAAGTGGTATCTGATTCTTGAATAAACTAGGAACGTCAGCTTCGTTCCAAAAATCGGAGGAGGAGGCCATACTTTCATAAGAGAAGGGAAAAGATCCCGGTGTGTAAAATAAGAAAGTAAACTGGTTTGATACGCGCCAGATGTTACCGACAATGCTGCTTCAACGGCCTTCCGGCGTATATCCACTACATAATGTCAGTATGTATCCTCCCTCCTAGGTGGTGTACCCTACAAGTCCTCCCAGTTCGAATTGTGACATCCAAAGCTGCAACAAAGTCCGTAAATACCGCATCCACATGATCCAATCCTGCAAGAATACTGATTATGTCCGAACTTGGGTTTGTATATTTCTTTGAGAGAACGGCTGCGAGAAAGGCTGTGGTAGTCTAAAACCGTCAGCCTCGTCAAACAAACTAAGGGGTGTCATCATACATCAAGCGCATGCGCATCTGCTGGATGATTCCCTGCTTTTATACATCCAACTGCCCTCAAAAACAATTGTCTGGTTTGTATCTACCACAATCAGTACTGGCTCCCTTGTTTGACAACCGGATTTCACTCGTACCTGAAGATGTAGTAAGTCATCCGCGCTCAATTCATTTAGAATAGTTTGCAATGTAGCTTTATTCGGTCGTAACAAAAAGAATTCCTTCCAAAATCCTTCCGACTTCTCGGGTTCATCTTCATCCTATTCATTCATCAGTACAAATACAATGCGACACTATGTGCTATGCGCATCATCCACCCGAACCGACCTTGAATAGAGCCTCGTACAATTCTACAATCTTCTGTTGGAATACTTCAGGGCGAGCTTGTTGAGTAAGAGGAGAAGGCTCCATACTTCATGGCAACAATTGATAATTTCTCAGGATCAACGAGAGAAAGGGGAGACTGTAAGATATGTATGGATGGTTGAGTATGTTTCCTTGCGTCGCAAATGATTGAATACTCGAGTAGCTTAAGGTTAATTAAATTATTATGGATGGGTTTGGCCTTACGTAGTCAAAGCCCTTGCTGGCCCCGGATCTATGTGGTATAGCTTCTTAGCGGCGGCCGATTAGTTATAACGCTAATCATAAAGGGAATAGTGCCAATCTCATGGGATTTCATGTCTTCTCATTGGTGATTCACGCTTTCTTTTTAAAAGTTGGGAACATTTGGGTTTTTATTTAATATGAGTGAGACAATAATAAATACTTACCTGGGTAGGTAATAATAGAATCTTCTCATTACATAATCATCCAATGTGTTCTTGTCAGCTTCGATGAATCTTAGTCATGTATATGCTGATTTGTGATTTGTGATATTCGTGATTCAATCGTTTGCTTACAATAGATGTACTGTTATTGGCTCGGTAAAACCATATTCCGAACCTCCGATCTGAGTCGACTTTGTGAGCCCATGATTTCTAAGAGCATAGCCTAGGAACCCTTAACCATTGCAAGAACTCTACAAATATAATTAGTATATCCGTCTGTACAACATCCCAAATCCTCCTTATTAATTTTTCATCAACAACCTATTACTTTGACGTCAACATACAATATATAAACCTACCTGTAAAATGTCTTTACAAAGAGCAGTTGCTCCTCTGACATCATCAGCGCCCGTCGTTTTCAGATTTGCCTCTTCACAGTCATCAACCTCCATGCGAGAATGTCGCCATATTTTTCGTCAATTCTCATCTTCTCGAGTCGCAAATGCTGAGGCAAAACGCAAGATGCAGACAAGTACTTGGCAAACATATACCCTATCTACTCCTCCACCACCGCCTCCAGCCCGCGAAGCCACTGTCCCGGAAACATCCATCACCGGGGGCATTCCACAAGTTCACGATACCCGACCACCTTCTATCAGCATTACAGAAGCTGAAGCACAAAAGACGAAGCCCGTGAAAAAGAGACCTCGTTACAACTTCGTTCCTCTTAAGAAGACCATTTCCCTCACCCCACGAGCCGTGGAAGCTCTCCGCGACCTGAGCAACCAACCAGAGGCGAAGCTCATCAAAATTAGTGTTGCAAACCGTGGATGCAGTGGATCGGCATATGACTTGAAATATGTTGAGAAAGGGGCCCCAAGCGATATCGTTCATGAACAAGATGGAGTTAAGGTGTTGATTGATCCAGCCGCACAACTTAAGATCATTGGCAGCACTATGGATTGGGTCGAGGATAGACTAAGCGCAAAGTTCGTTTTCGATAATCCAAACATTGGTAAGTACTATTATATCTTCCAACTCATATCATCTCCTCTCTTGGGTATGACTAACAATGCACAGACAAATCTTGTGGATGTGGTGAATCATTCATGACGAAAGACGAATCAGCCGCACGAGAAGCGGAAAAGAAAGCTTCCAAGGGCTTTTAACTGTATGATACGATAGACACGACAACTTTCGAACTTGTGATATAATGGGTATAAGGCATGGATAATGCATTGGGCGGAGTTTGATCGGCGCTGAAGGATTGGCCTGCACTAGGCACGCTTTGGTGGGCATGTTTTATTGTAGGGTTAGCAATTAGGGACAGCGATACCTCACAGGCAGGATAGATTTGCATACAGTTGTACACCATACTGATACCTACTTAATGCAAAAGAAACTTCACGACAATGATGGGCCCATGGTGAAGGTGTTTTTTTTTCAATCTCTGTCTAATCTGGGACTTGTTGAGCACTACTCAGTCATGGATCTCCATATTTCTCCTCCCCATCACTGATAAGCATAACAACCGCAATTTTAAGGTCAATTTTTAGTCGACGGTCCCTAACGCATCAAGCCATTCCCATCATTTTCCTCGTCTCTGAACTTCATGTACTCATTCCTACTTTGAAACACCTAACCTCTAAAATACACCCATCTCATAATCAACAACCCTAACATTCTGCACTATGGCCCCCGCTTTCTTCCCAAATTCCAGATGTGCTGGATCTTCATTCACATAGTAATCCCGATCACTGGTGGACGCGAAATGAAATACGAAACCGTGGGAGAAGCCGCCCTTAAAGGGGTGTTAGCTGGATGTTGCTTGTAGAAAGTCTGAGGTAGGAAGGTATGATATAGAGAATAGACAGATATGGAAATAGGACTGCAGAAGAACTAGACACGCTGAAGAAAAGGTGTGAAGAATGGATGAGTAGTGTTAGGATATAAGGGCAGGGTGTAACACTACTTGATGGCCCTCTGGTGAATTATCCCTTCCGCCAGAAGAATTTAAAATATATGGCTTTTTGGACTCTGGATGAATACAGAGAGTGGATAGCGAGAGCATGTGTTTGCATAGCTTTTGATATCCATTCTGTTAGTTGATATTCTTTCACGATTTTGATATCATGGTGCTAGGCTGGATGGGAGGGACAACCATACATCGTCTATTTGATCTTTGTGGGTGTTGGGCTTGAATTCAAAGAGGACTATGTGAACGATTGTCATGATGGCGATGGGATTGATTTTGAGTGTAAGTAGCGGCAAAGGAAGAGAGAATTGGAAGCTTATGGCAGGTTAGTCTTATCAGCACTTTTGCGGGGTTGATAAGGAGATTGGACTGTGATTGAGTTGATGTGTAAGGATTAGTAAGCAGAGAATGGTGGTGATGTAACGTTTGCATCGATAATTTTTATGATAATTATTAAAGAGCGAATGTGTGGAACTACTAGGTAGCTTTATTGTCTGAATTGGCTACAGGTAAATATCTGAGGCTTTATAGCGCTTTAGATATTGAAGAAAATGAAATGCATGTCCTATTCTCCAAGCGGAGAAAGTCCATATCCAACACTTCCATGTCCCCTCTTACAACCTCACAAAGGTCACACATTCTGGCGCTTCCCCAACTTCAATTCTATCACTGCATGGAATATTTTGTTGAGTTATAATAGGCGATGCCGTGCTTTGACTTCATACTATTGAATTTTAGTCCTAACATTACGTCATTCGCTTTGCTACTACTGAGAGACTAGAAACCGAAAGCCTATCTAGTGGAGGAAGTCCAGTTCTCACGTACCAAGATTTAAAGTTTAGGTTCTATTGTAGTTTCATTCAGACTTTTGATTCTGAAAGTTAATGCAGGGTTTTGTTTCGTTTTTATGAGTAAGAATGCTGTTGGAAGTCCAAAGTATATACACCTGCACTGCTGAACAAATACCCCAAGATGGATGAAGTGTGTCCAATAGTCTTTTCATATTCGCTCCTGATGGTCATCGATACGGCTAGCCTGTGATTTATTTGGATAGTTAAATTATTAGAGGAATTTACATATAAAAAGTTTGGATTAGATAATCTAATATTCGAAAATCTATTACAGTCCGGACTTTTGGACTGAATAATGGTGTCATATGATATCACTTTTAACATGATCTGAATATTTTATGATAAATCACTCGCATGATATCAATATCATACATATAATATCATCTTTATATGATCTGAAGATCACATCACCTAAATCTCATATAATATCATTATTCAATCCAAAGGTCCAATTTGTCTGGAGCTTGTTGGGGATCTCTATTATCCTGAACGATCTGTTTAAGTTCTCATTGGCGTGAAGCTCGACTGCTTGATTTAAAACATCTAGTCCATTCTGCAGTCTGGACTATTGAACACCCTGGCTTGGTGTCAGAAGGAGCTAGATGAACTTATTTGCTTGTAAAGTTATGAAAGAAATGGAAAGTAGTACTGAGTATGTAGACTGAATGATCCATTTGACTTAAAGGAAGAATGTAGTAATTAAAGATGCAAGTGGAGAGGTAGGTTGGAGGAATGGATCGATTATCTCGAAATCCGAAAAGCAACCAAAATTTACACTGGCGAGACAAGAAAAGACTAGGCATTAGCATTATTTGAGCTTCTAAGAACATAAAGGTAGTCGCTAGAGCATTAAAGTTTCGCGAACACGATACGTGCCATTTTTAGCGAATTTATTACCCTGACACACCTTTCCACTATAAGTTACCTTGATCCATCTTGATTTGATGTCCACTTTTATTCTCACGAGTCTGGCGACTTAGACTAGTAAATAGTAGCCTGTCATCGTTGATCTGCCCTGCTTTTTTCTTTTCAATGATCAGAATTTTTATAGTCTAACCCTGGTTATCTGATCTGCAGGATAAGGCCCATTGCCGGTTTGAAACACGAGGTCTTCATGTACTAGTGGATAGCCTGAAATTGCTCGCTATCTAACGGTAGGTGCAATATTTGCCGGATAGGATCGACTCAAATCCGCACCATGTACATATGCCTGCAACATACGCATTTCAGCACAACACAGCACAGTAGACAGGTTTCTTCAAAGCAGCTCCGTTGTCGATGACAATTTGATCTGTGTCATGATACACCGATATATTGCTGACTGAAATTGGACAAGAATTATCAGTTTTATTGAAATCTTAGGATTAGTTTTTCACGGAACCCGTATCCCACTGTCCATACAAACCTATTCATCAGTATGCGAGAAGTCTATTAACTGATTACTTTGTTATTTTACAGCTCACTTTCTTAATTTTTTCCTGTGCTTTATTTGGTATTTTAAGAGAAATACCGAGCATTTATTTGTTTCTATTTGACTCTCCCCTGCCATCATCGCTACCGTCAACCTTCGTAAACCTCTCCTTCTAGCATTGCGCCTTGCTATTACTTTCATTCTTGTCGTTAGTTTCCCTCTCTCCTTCCATCATTCCCCAACAGCACTCTGCATACACAACAAGTGCTACACACTTTCCTTGAACCTTGCAAACTTTAACAATTACGCATAAACCCATACACCTCCCTCTAGGTATCCACGCCTTAGACGCCCAGTAACTTCATTTTTCCACCACTAACGCTTCCAAAGTCTCCAAATGCCTATATTTCCCCCTCTTTTCTATTACTAAAAACAAGAAATAACGACCTGCAGTGGCTGACAATTCATTTGCAACACATAACTGGTGTTAAATCTCACTAAACGCAGAATCATCAAAACTCTAGGAACAGAAAAATGGGAAATCAGCAAATCTCAAGCCATTTGCATGTGATACTATCAGGAGCTTCGACATCGAAATTCTTTATTTTGCATTAAAGAATAAAATCTGGCTATATTGTGCCTTTAAGGGATCGAAGTCCTAGAAATAACCTTATTCTCAGTAATAACTGCGAAGTAAACACGACATCTTGCTCGCTCTCCGGCAGAGTGGCGTAATATTTTAAGTTAATCATCAAATGCTTGAATATTAACAAAGAACTTTCATCTCAATCAATGGCGATTATTCTCTCAGTGGAAACATTGCTTGATAATTTCAACTACCATTTTAAAAATGACCCCTTGCACCCCGCGGTACTTGCTGGAAGTATTAAAAACTCATCTCTGCCCTACTAAATTTACTAAATCTTCCAACCTTGCGGAATGGCGATGACGAATTCAAAATACTATAGTCGCTGACGAGCTGTGTAAAGCTAAACTACAGCACTAATTATCTTGCTTGCAGTAAGCGCAGCTCATGATCACGACAATGAAGGAAGAGCCTTTTTGCTTTCTATTTTATTTTGCTGATATCCTTTGATTGGGTTTAAGATCTTGAAAATAATCCGGGCAAACTAAATTGTGCTATGACCTATGAATACATAATATCCTGAGCCATTACAGATTTCCTCCTTTTAAATCTAGTTCGGTTGGTTAGAGCATGTCATTATCCTAAGGAGGCAAGCGAGGCTTCTTTTTCATGGATAATATGGGTATTAGAAAAAGGGGGACTTTGTATATATAAATAGTTACAAATATCAAATCAGGGGTCCACAACTATAAAGTGTAATATCTTGTTTTCACGATTCTTTGATATGGATGTTAATTCATGATCATTGAATTATGAGAAAGCTGACGAGTTAGATTTCCCGATTCCGTTCTATTGAGTAGCGATGGTCAATGACATTTTCTATAAAATTTGCAGTGTTTGTTTCTACTAAAACAAAAACTCACCTACAATAAAATTCTATTAGAAGAAATTCTCCAAGGGTTAGGTGATCAGGACCTTGACCACGTCAATTTTTAATTCAAATACACACGAAAAACTTTTATGCTAGCGCTTTCGGGAAGACGTTTAACGAATATGTGGAGTCCATTGGTACGGCGCTTGAGAGTAGGAATGGTTAAACGGGTAAATGAGGCCAAGTGGGATGCTTATAAGGGGTAAGAGATTAAGCGAGAAGGGATAGGGGGGTGGAAAAGGAGGTGACTCTGGTTTAAAAAAAGAGGGGGTTTCAGGGCGTGTGTAAGTGGCAGGGAGATGTTTACACGATCTTTATTTCGAATCGTAACTTTTACCGTTTCCTTCCATAATTATCCAATATTCGCGAATACTTAGATCTGAATAACGATTTATTCCCAGAGTATTGAAGAGAGATTCGCGATTTTACAGAAGGTTAGCGGAAATAAGTAGACTTGTGCAGCACGCACGAATTGTGGTAGAATTAAATGTTTGGAATGAAAGATTAGATGGCACGGCTCACCAGCTGCTTTCAAGTTCTGAAAGACGACGATTTTGATAGAATATAAGTGCCACACGACTTAGACTAAGCTCACTAGTGAATATCAAGAGAAGGTTTAGCTTAAGAATGTATATAACAGTAATATCAGTGCAATCAACGATGCAATCTATAGTAGAAAATGAACTCTAAACAACCACATAGTTTTGTCCCGTAAATACTCCTCGAGTAGTATATATGACATTCCATCTTTTCTATTCGATGTGACGTACAGATAATAAAATAAATGCTGTAGAAGGAAAATAATAAACCACAAAAAAACCCCCTCTACATCAACACTACCACAACTTATAGCCCCTCTCTCTCCGTCATGAACATCTTCCCACTCTGCATCTCAATATCACTCCCAGCACTCTCCCTCTTCAAATGTTTCACCCCTTGGTTCTTACTTCTAAATTTAAAATTTACCTCCGTCCACGCTCCTCGCATAGCGATTCCCGGATGTAATAAAGTAAGTGCTCCCGTCGCCAAAACAATCATAACACCTTCTAAAACCATGAATTCCGCTTCATGGCTCACGAAAAGAGAACCATGGAAACCACCTGATAGTTCTATACATCTATAGATGGAACGAGCGAGGATTGTGATAGTTGCCAAGAAAAGTCCGGCGAGAAACGATTTAAAGAGTAAGGAAGAGACGAGATCGACGTAGCGAGCATTCCAGAAACCTTTTGCGCGGTGAACTCTCCAAGCGAAATCTGTGCACAGGATGGTGAAGAGGATGAGAGAAAATACTTGGAAGGCGAGACCTGCTAACATGATGTTTTTTCCCAAGTCACTCTGATCAATTGTGTCGGCAAGTGAAGCAATAGCTCCACCAACGGCTTGAAGGACTAACGAGATGATATCGCAGGTGCAGAAGATGATGGTATATGTTCCTGGTCTGAAGCGAGAGATTTCTTGGCCATATAGGATGACGATTCGGGATAGACAGAGGTAGATTGCTGCCGTGAGGAAGGCAGGAGCGATGGTTAGACAGATGAGGTACATTAGGAAGTAGTTGTTGTCGAAAGGAGAATTATGAATAAGAACTCTCGCTATGTAACCGATGACTTCTAGAATCTAAGGGTTAAGAAAGTTAGCATTTTGATTCTTGTCAGTCATTTCATGGACCATGCACTCCCAAGTAGAATGTAACGAGAAGGTCGCGAGTAAAGTATAGAACATACCAATCCAAGCATTATAGCCACCATATATCCCCATGTTTTAAATTTGATTCCCAGTCCCAATTGTGCAACCAAAAAGATCCCAAACAAACCGGCGTAAAGGGTATTCCCAACGACAGTGGGCAGGTACTGAAAACTTGCCAATGAAAGATCACAAGTATCAAGTGTGCATAAATGAGGGTTCATGAGCAAAGTTGCATTACCGTAGCCAGATCCATTGCCATAGGAATGAGTCAAGTTTGACATTTTGAGGCGCTGTGGAGTGGAGAGATATGAAGGGATGCCAGGCAGGAGTAGGAATCAATATGAATCGAAACGAGAACGGGAAACAGAAAAAGATGAGTAATATTTGAGAATTGTTGAAGTCTATCATTTTGATATCTAGGGAATTCCACTTAGCTTTAATATTCCAACATCAGGCAGTGCAATTTCATAACAATGTAGAACTCGGCATCACGGAGTTTTCTTCGCAAAGAATTCGTTGCGAAGCATACGACGACCATAGGGAATTTATCACGGCCCTACCAATGATGTTGCATCGAAAGCGACAGCGACGCTTATGTCAGCCTTGAGTCAGCAAATCAATAAATACGATTGGCTCAATCGTAGTTATGAAGGATGACTGAACTTAGCCACATCGACATCCCCAGCAGCTCCAAATTTAAGCTTGGCTTTTACCCTTCAAAGCCTTCAAATAGAATGGTTTCATGAAAATACCAGTAAGGGTATTTATTTAGTAAGGCTGAAAATGACAAAACATTTGAAAGAACCGTTCTTGAAGAACTGAAGCGATCCACAAATTTAACTGGAATGATTAAGGAATTGGGACTGAGCCAGCATTACCATCCGATGGATCCTATTGTGAAGGCTAGAAAGTGCAGAAGCGCTTGCTCTCTTTTCCGCTAGGTGACCCCTCGTCGTTGACCTCTTGCCGTAAATACGCCGTTGTTACTAGGCAGTGGCAGAAACGTGGGAGGAAATGTTAATTCTAACCGTTGATTATAAATGTATGGAACGCGCAACAAGTCCCATGCTTCATGAGCGGTGGATAATCAATTTGTCTCTCTTTCATTCTCAATCAAATCAATCAAGCTTTAGGACTGGGAGACTTGACCTGACCTGTTGGACTTCCGCATAACACATAATTATATTGATACATAACAGATGATCATCTCCTCAACCACTTGTGTAATCCGTCACAAAGATGGTGAAGTCCAACAACATATCAATTGGCTTCAAACTTTCGGGGTTGAGATCAGAGGGAGACCTGTGAGAAAGCTCTTGCGGAAGAAATCATGGCAAATGCAATATGAGGTCTTGCTAAGTGGTCAAAAAAGGAAAAGGAAAGAAGAGCCAATCAGTCACCACCTGATTATACGAAGTTGGCTGGCTGAGACGATAAATAAACATTGTTGGCTCGACTTTCATGAATCTCTTCCAACATGGACGACGGTGACACGAGGACTACCAACATCTTGGTCTGTGATATCACGGAAGCACTATCTGACGGATTGGGAAAATGTCAGGTGCGGCTTAGGGAGTATCAAGTTTCCGATATTAAATTTTAAGCTGCAGATAGTTGGCTGGTCCGAGTTCCTGTGGGACTCTGAGCTAGAAAGAAAAGGCGGCATCATGCAGTAGGTACTAGGTAGGACTGTGTAGATGTAGAGATATGATAAGCCAAACAAAAGGGCGGAAGTACGAGGACATGCATCAATTGTGACAATTCAAGTTATTTATATGGAAATCATGCAGTGCAGCACAACATTGATAATAAGTTACAAAGCGTAGCTCCATATGTATATATATATATACCTAAGTACTTCGTCCGTAGCTTCACAGTTTCGTACAGCAACAAAAGTTGCACATCTTCTCTCGCCTTATCAACCAATCAATCAACAACAACAACTTCACCGACTTTCAACGATGTAAAGAGAAAACTCTTTCTCACGTGATAAAAAGCAACAATTTGATGACTCTTACTAACCAATGAAAATCTACTGGTCCGATTTCGCACTTCACGTTTTGCAGCATTCACACAACACGAGAACTTTATGCAGTGATAATGCAGCGATGTGCATAGTGCATCATGCATAATGCCACACACCACCAAAATAATGAAAATCGAAAATTCATAAAAATAAAAATGAAAAAACCAAAGAACAGCGTCAGAGTCATACCTACCTAGTACCTACCTAATACGTAGATACCTCAAAAGATCTTCCCTTCCTTGGAAAAGCATAAATACCTGTGTGCGTCTGTACATGAGAAATTTTTCTTTCTTCTCTTGTTTGAATCAATTCACTTTTTATTATCACATCAATTGATCTTTTATCAAGGGGGATCTTATCTCAACCCCTTAAAACATATTTCCTCCATCATCAAGAACTTCAATTCAATTCAACTCAACTCAATTCAACTCAATTCCTTTGAAAGGTCAACAACACACACAATACGCACTTCCAAGACTTTTCTCTCCCTTCAATCCAACAAATCGCCCATCACAAACTTCTCAAGAATCACACAATGTGTCCTTCCTGCGAACCCGAGCAGGCTTTAAATACCATTGCCGCTCATGCGAATGGCAATGGCAATGGCTCTACGTCCAATGGATCAAGCGAAAGTTCGCATTCGACTCTCGATCTCTATGGTTCATATCATCGCTAACTTTCAATTCTAGCTCATCCAGGATATACAGCAATCGAGACCAAGAAGAACCCACATCCAGCAAAGAGAGAGAATCCATATCAACCAGTCGGCGACTTCCTTAGCAATATTTCGAGTTTCAAGATTATCGAGAGTACATTGAGAGAAGGTGAACAATTTGCCAATGCTTTCTTTGATACCGAGAAGAAGATTGAAATCGCCAAGGCTTTGGATGATTTCGGTGTTGACTACGTGAGTCATTGCTCTTGTATTGGCTTCGCACGGAAACCATTTTACTGACATGAGGCTCGCAGATTGAATTGACTTCACCCGCTGCTTCAGAACAATCAAGAGCTGATTGTGAAGCTATCTGCAAGTTGGGATTGAAGGCTAAGGTTGGTACCACTAGCTTTCGCACAACCAATGACACACTCATACTAACTTCTATAGATTCTTACTCACATCAGATGTCACATGGATGATGCCAGAATCGCAGTTCAAACTGGTGTTGATGGAGTGTAAGTTGCGCTTTCTCTCCAGACAAAGATTTATTTTCTAACATGTTCCAGTGATGTCGTTATCGGTACCTCATCTTATCTCATGGAACATTCCCACGGAAAGGATATGACCTACATCAAGAACACCGCAATTGAAGTTATCGAATTCGTCAAGTCACACGGCATCGAAATTCGATTCTCTTCGGAAGATTCCTTCCGTTCAAACCTCGTCGATCTCCTCTCCATTTACTCCACCGTTGACAAGATTGGTGTTAACCGTGTTGGCATTGCCGATACTGTCGGATGCGCTTCCCCAAGACAGGTTTACGATTTGATCAGAACTCTTCGTGGTGTCGTTAGCTGTGATATCGAAACACATTTCCACAATGACACTGGTTGCGCTATCGCAAATGCATACTGCGCTTTAGAGGCCGGCGCTACTCACATTGATACCTCCGTTTTGGGTATTGGTGAGAGAAATGGTATCACCCCTCTTGGTGGATTAATGGCCCGTATGATTGTCGCAGACCGTGAATACGTCATGGGCAAGTACAAGCTTCACAAGCTCAAGGATATTGAAGATTTGGTTGCACAAGCCGTCGAGGTCAACATTCCTTTCAACAACTACATTACTGGTTTCAGTGCTTTCACTCACAAGGCTGGTATTCACGCCAAGGCTATTCTCAACAACCCATCGACCTATGAAATCATCAACCCAGCCGATTTCGGTATGACCAGATACGTTCACTTCGCTTCAAGACTTACTGGATGGAACGCCATCAAGTCTCGTGCTAATCAACTGAACATCGAAATGAGCGATGAACAATACAAGGAGTGCACTGCTAAGATCAAGGCCCTTGCCGATATTCGATCCATCGCAGTTGATGATGCTGATTCAATCATTCGTGCTTTTCACAGACAAACCAAGACTGGTAAGGCCGTTGAGCTTTTGCCAAACATGACTGAGCAGGAGAAAAATTTGTTGGCCCAGAAGGAAGCTGAAATTGCTGGAGTCCCTGAGAAGCGCAAGTTGGATGAGGTTGCCGAGGGTCAAGCTAAGAGGGCTAGAAATGAGGTTTCCGCATAAATGAAGAGAGGAAAGGATGAAATCTGATTTGGACCAAGTCTATTCTGTTAGGGGGTAGCTGAATTCTTCCCAGACAAGGCGGATCTAAAGGAAAGTAGTTGAAATCTTCCTAGATCCTGGTTCAAAGATGATGGAAATTTTCCTCGTGGATTCTTCATCTATGGGAACAAAATGGCGGGCTGAAAAGTTGCTTGAGCTATTTGATATTTCTTTCCTTTTTTTTGTTGATTCTTTCGACAGCTAAAGACAGGTTCGCGGGATATACAATTCTTGCGAGGTTTGCTTTGCGTTGAATGAATATCTATTCAAGGGTGTGTTACAGCATACAGTGGGTATGAGAGGATAGAAGGGAGGGAGCATGTATTGCTTATTCGATAGTCTGAAAATACAATACTATACATGGATTTACTTATTTCTTGAGAGACTTGACTGATTGAATTGGTGATTGACTATGCTTGATATGATGAGAAGAAAATTGACAACAAAATGATAAATTGACCAATTGAAAATGATATTGGTGTTGTGTAATTGATGTCATTGAGAAACTAAATCCGACGACGCATTAAAGCCACATCCTTGGTTGAAAGGCTATCTATCACCCGCCCCATCAATTCTCCGGGCATTCCACCAAATCATTAACTTTTCCATTCATTCCACTGAGCCACTAAATTAAAAATTCACCCATAATCACCATGTCATAGCAAATCCACATATCCACACTTTCCAAGCTTCGCAAGCTTCGCCAAATATCCCTTCCTTCACACGAAACCATCTTCCTCTCACAAAAGAGCAACAACTCCCAAGGCCGCTCCCATCAATCCTCCTACCATCTTAACTCCCACCGTAGGCGCTGCATTAGTCGTAGCCGATGTAGATGAGCTTGATGTTGCCGAACCTGTGGTTCTGGTTGATGTGGAAGTGGTGGATCTAGATCCCGTACTCGTAGCTGAACTCATTACTCCTCCAGGATTTGATGCTGTAGCTGATGCGGAACTGATTGCTCCTCCTGGGTTGGAAGAACTTAATGCACTCCCTGTTGCGCTTTCAGTTGTGCTTCCGGTGGAAGAAACGCTGGTGTTGGTGAGGATACTGAGGACACCACCTGGATCACTAGAACTCAACGCACTTCCACTTGCACCAGGTGCGCTGGTCGAGCTGGCGAGACCTCCTGGATTTCCAGATGTGATGGCGCTTCCTCCTTCTGTGGTTACACTTCCTGTCACTGCAGATGCGGAAGCGGAGAAAGCAGCACAGAGTGCAGCGCCGACGCTAGCCGCGCTTGCGAGCTCATTGGCGTTGCAGGCCGAGATAAGACATGGGGTTGCGGCGGTTTGGATGGCGGTTTGGGCGGTGCCGCATTGGCAGGCTTGGTCGTTGGCTTTGCAGCCTGCGACGGAAATGGCGCTTTGAAGACAGGGGAGCTGTTTTTGTGTAGTGGTTAGTTGATGGTTGATGGTTGATGGTTGATGGAGGGGAAAGGGGTGGAATAGGGTGGAATGAGATTGGAGAGAGGAAACGGTAGGTGGGTGGAAAGGATGGGGTTGAAGATGAGGAGAGTGAAAAGGATGGGGTTGAAGATGAGGAGAGTGAAGGAATGAGAAAGTAGGCAAGGGAATGAAAGGGACGGAAAGGAAAGGAAGGAAAAGAAAACTTACAGCACAAGCTGGTTCCGCTCCGAAATTCTGGGCAGATACTGAAAGGAGAGTACCTGCAATCGACAAAGCGGTGATGAACTTCATCTTGATGGTAGAAGTATTGTTTGATTGAACCTTGTATTTGTTCTTGCAATGTTTATTTTGTGATAATGTGTACACGGATGGGTTTTGAATAATTGATTTATCAAAGGAAGGAGAGGAAAGAGTTTGTAAATACCAAACAAGAAGATGAGATATGGACAATCACTTGGATAAAGTGATGAAGTGATGAAGTAATAATGGATTGAATTGAATGAATTGAACGAATTGAACGAATTGAACGTAAGATTATATATTCAATTAAAGACAGAGAAGAGAAGTTGAATCTCGAATCTCGAACATCGAACATGGAACATTTTTAAGACCGACAAACAGATAAACATACCGACTGCCTAGATTGGACTGGACTAGACTCTGGCTCTTGCCCTGGCCCTGGACTTTGACTGAGACTTAAACTTACTTGGACCTTACCTTAGTCGCGGGGAAATTATTATCGATAGGGAAGGACAAGGACAGAACAGGGAGGAAGCACTTGCCGCTTTAGCTTGATGATCGAAGGAACCTTGAGATCGTACCTAGTATTCGTATCTATGTATGTACCTACCGATATACGTAAGCAGTAATATGAGATGAAATAGGAAGCTCGAATTGAGTTTTTGCGTTTTGACTTTTGCGTTTTGAGTTTGATGGCTGATGTTGGTTGGTGAAGTTCGATTGTTGTTTCGAGGTATGTACAAGGAATCTAGTTTGTGATATGATATGATATATGATATGATATGATAGGTCCAATGATTCACACGCAATACAAAACAGCTACTTAACTCTCTAAAACAACATCGAGTTTTATTCTTCTAGTTTGCTCATCTGCTTGTCTTTGAAATCGTGGTGTAAATAGTAAAGTTCATATTTTTGATACTATTGAACCTTAACTTGAGGCTGACTAGGGAACCGACGGTAATCTATTGATTTACTTTGACATCTGGGCATTTTACTCACAAGACTGACTTACGTGATCCATTCATTTCCCGCAGAGGAAGAATGGAACTATACCTTTGGAGGCTAATCAATGTTGACAAGTGGTGGTGTGGTGGTAAGACTTGATTAAAGTACAGCCCATCCCGCCACGGTATTTCCACGCAATACCGACTTGTGGATTGATCCGTCCCATCATCACTCTCGTAACCTTATCACAACCACGCATCCTTTTGACCATCATTTCACCATATCATCATCTTCATCATTTTCATCATCTTCATCTATAATTCATACCGAGTACATCATACCTATGTCCATCTTTTTCCGAACCTTCCTCTTTGGTTTTGGTTGATGGGAAGATCTGGAAACACGGATTACGCATGCTTGTTTTCTGCACCTGCTTAAGAAAGGTATACGGTACGTGGATTGGCTGTGCTTGCTGGCTTCACACGTGGCGTTTCTAGGTAGCTCGTCTCGTAACCTTATTCTTTATCCCCCAGCCATCTGTGAGGTTGTGGTGTGGTGTTGGCAGAAGATCACAGTAGGTACATTGTTCACCGTTGTTTTGACTGGAAGTCGTCTGAGTGGGACCAAACCAATAGTTAATTGAACTTGATGGGGAAATAGGAATTGTTGATGTTTTGTTTTGTTTTGTTTTGTTCTGTTTTGTTCTGTTCTATTTTATAAGTTGGTATAATACCGGTATTTAGATGATTTTTATATGATACCTACCTATTTAATGTTTCCGATTGGATGTATGATAGATAGATAACCTTAACCTTAACGCCATGGAATAACTCACTTCAACATCTCTCCATCCATCTCACATGATCTGTATAAACAAAGTCACATGATCTGTATATAAACAAAGTCACACAATCGAGCAGAAATTATACTGTATTTTTATTTAGGGATTCAATGCTTATACCACAGTCGCCGGGCAATCACAATTACCTTGTATCAATCTTATCTTACTCGGCTTTCTAGCCTCTTCGCGCTGTAATTGTATAATATCGTATGGGCCATTCGTGTCCATCTTTTTTTCTAATTCTATGTCTTGATCATTCAACATCAACATCCTTCACAACCAAGACCATGTAAATCTCTCTAGAAATCTCATTATTATTCCATTTAATCTCTATTCATTCATGTTTTAATTTATTTCATCTCTTTCTCACCACCAACTCTACCTTCACATCTACATATTAATTTCTAATATTTCCCTCTCTTCTCTTCTCTTCCCTTCTCTTCTCTTCCCTTCTCTTCCCTTCCCTTCTCATCTCCCCATCAAAATAATATAAAAAAGACCAAATCCCTTTAAAGTTCCCACCATAGAAATTCATCGATAATATATATCAAATCCCCCCCCCCCCCACCTCCGGTCCGGTCCAAGCAGCATCCCACGACATCTGAGGTCCTCACGCTCACATCATTTTAAGAGTTCATCATATCATATTCGAAGTCCACATCTCATCATATCATATCATATCATATCATCAAATCTCTCTATCTACATCTAGATTCCTAACAACCCATACCAGAGAGAATCTAGATCCTTCCCTTCATCCTTCATCTTTCATCCTTCATCCTTCTCTGAAAAGTTCAACAACATTACTCAAGTAGTATAATTATAAATAACATACAGGTATTTACCAAATCAGTCAATCGATAATCACCATCATCATGAGCACTCACTGATGTTCCTTGCGAGACAGGATACGATTTTCTTCTATCTATTCTGTGATGACTGATTTTTGTTAGTTTAATTCTTCGTTTTTGATATCCATCATTACCATTATCATCATTATCATCATTATCATCATCACTATATAACATCCCAAAGACGCCCCCTCATTTACATCCATATCCCTATCCCCATCCCCATTCCTATCCCATCATTATCACTATATAATATCCCCACCAACCCACCTAATACCCCATCCCTCCCGCTAATACCCCAACCAACCAACCCACCAATCCACCAACCAACCCCCCTCCCCTCTCTTATTATTTCCCCATCAACACATAATAATTCTTAATCTCCTTCCGAGGCTCCCACCGCCGCATATTTGATTCATTTTCAGGATATTCGTTTCTTTTTTGTTTGGGGGCGGAGGGGGGGAGGGGTTTGGCTAGTCAGTTCTGGGTTTCTTTCTTTTTGGAGAAAACTTGCAGTTTCCTTTAGGATGATCGTTGGTTGTGTTTGTTTAAGGGTTGGAAGGGTTGGAAGGGTTGGAAGGGTTGGAAGGGTTGGAAGGGTTGAAAAGCCTCGGACGTTTGAAAGAGTTGGAAGGTTTGTAAGGTTTGAGGGTATCTTTGAAATATATTTTCATCTGAATAAATACGTATCTAATGGAGAAACCAGGTAAAATAGTATTAGTTGAATAGGTATATAAATGAATGCAAATTGAACCAAAAATCTTCTCCAGCTCTATGCCAACGAGATAACAATTTTCTTTGCAGAAACTCCTTTCCTCTGCATTTCCATCCCCCTTTCTACGAGCCCCAATCCCTCCCCAATTACCATCGCCTCAGGAGCCGCAACAAAGCTACCCTTCTCTAACGCTTGTGGCAAAAATTTGGCATACACAGCCTCGCCTACCTCATTCGTTACCACAGTTGAGCCATCGACGAATTTGTTATTGATACCCCGGAGTACTTTCTTGATCTCATTGGAAATCGTCCAAAGAATGAATGTGGAAATGAACCTCGGGAATATGAATCGTTTCGGTGGTGGTAACATTGGATAAGAAACCATCGCAACGAACTTCTTACCGTTGCATTTATCAATGATATCCATACATGCATCCGAAGCTCCTTTCCCGATAGACATTGCACCAGCACAAGTCTTGCCTCTGAATGCATTTATAATATCAGGAACGGCTGATTTGCTGTTGTAATCAAACACCTGACTTGCACCGAATTTCTTGCACAGCTCGAAGTTCTTGGGAGATGAGGTAGTAATGACCTCGTAACCAGCTGCGACGGCTAACCTGAAGTTTATGGTTAACAAGAATTCATGAAAGAAGTCCTAGATCCGTGAAGACTTACTGAATAGCATTGATGCCAACACTGGTTGAACCACCCCAAATAAGCACAGTTTGCCCGGCTGGTTTTGGAGAGACCGACGGCAATCCGAGTGCCAGGTGATCTTTTTGAAATAGCCCAGCAGCAGCTGTAGAAACTCCCAAAGGCAAAACGGAAGCTTGTTCATACGACAAATTATCCGGAATTGGCGAAGTCATACTCTCCAACAAAACAGTATAGAGCTGAAAAGCACTTTGCGTAGGAGTATTCGATGGCTCTGTGGTTCCCATTGCCATGCCCACGACACGATCTCCAACCTTGAACCGCGTAACACCATTTCCAACTTCCACTACTTCTCCAGATACATCATATCCAAGAATGCATGGATATTTCACCCAAGGGAATAGCAAACCACCCAAATCTTGCTTCATCCAATCTGCTGGGTTAATGGCAATGGCTCCATTTTTTATAACAATCTCATTTTTTGAGGGTCGAGTATAAGGTGCGGGTTTGACTTCTAGCTTCGCAGATTGATTCAACCATACAGCGGAATTTGGGGAGAGCTTTGCCGGGGAAGACATGCTGATTGGAGGTATGGGCGAGGACGTGAGAGAGGTGGATATTGAGCTAAGACGGTAATTCTAGATCTGCGAGGGCGTGATGTAGGTGAATACTGGGCTAGGACGGTAAGTCTAGATTTGCGAGTAGGTAACGAGAACTTCAAGAATGAGAAATGAGAAACAGATGTGCTATGAAATGATGGCTATCTCAAAGTGAGCTGAATGAGATATACTTATACCCAATACCTACCATTGCTTCACGCGTTAAAAAGAGAACATGGCATGGAGATATCATATTTATTTTGTCCGATAATTTCATGAAGTTTCGAAGCTTAGATTGAGATGCTTTGAACATTGTCGACAGGTCATCGCTGCCATCTTCTCAAAAATGCGAGATGAAGTTAGTGTTCGGTAGATTTTAGAAAGCGTGTTATGGAGTACTCAAGTTTGTGATTACTAATCAATTACCTATCACTGCATTGGCTTGATGACTAAAGTAGCTTAGCACACCAGCAGAAACTTCAAATGCGAAGTGAGGTTAGCGCTCTCCAAGCTTCTCATGTCTGTCTTTCATTTGTTAGGCACCGGTGAACCTTAATCCGAAGTCCGAAGAATGAATGTGCATGAGCGTGAGCATGAGGATGAGGATCAAGTAAAACGTGGGTATCCGCCACCATCTCCAGAGCGTCAACACCAATTGCAACAAGATCTTGCCAATCTCTATAGCTCAGCTGTTTGTCATCGTAGTCCGGGAAAAGCACCTTGTCCGGGAAAGCAAGTTGTCTTACAATTTATTAATAACTTCATCGCTTTTTGGTATTAATTGCTTCAAAATTGATTGTTGCATAATATTGCATAAGGGTTAAATTTTCAAGCTAGCAATTTTCACCTCTCTGGACAACACTATCAAGCTTGGTAGAGAGAGGACAATTTACTTTCCGAGATGGGTTAACTCGTTTGCTAGGACAACCGGACCTAAAATCATTCCCCCTTCATTTCCTCATCAGTGTGATGTGTCAACTAAAACACCGCCTCGCGGAACACTTATATGGTGAACGTTATTGCTAGTCCAAATACTTTCTTTTCTTATCGATATTTGCGCGACCCTTGGGATAACTTAGAATTCCATCACCCGTTTTCGAACTTCCATCTGATCCAGAGCCATGAGCGCCCCCAACTTGATATCCGAAAAGGGGGACAACCGGAAGATCAGGCCGCATAAAAAGTCGCGCCGTGGATGTGGAAACTGTAAGCTAAGGAAGGTCAAGGTAAGCTGGATATTTTATCCCATTCTAAAGGAATTTGTTTGACTGATTGGCGGTAGTGTGATGAGACCAGACCTATGTGCAAACGGTGCACAGAATTTAAAGTCCTTTGCAACTACGACCAAAAAACTTCAGCACTTCAACTACTGGACAAATCTTTTACTTTTGAGACACTTCAACACAGACTTCCCTACTCATTGAACCAAACGATGCCAAGCATTGTTAACCCAAGCCTGAGAGGCTTCCACAAGACAAATGTGTACGATTTGAGTGACCAAGAACATCTGGAGATATTGAATAGATTTCAGACAAGAACGGTTTACACAATTACGACAAGCCGGAATCTCCAAATATATCAAAATGAGTTCATCAAGCTAGCATGTTTGGTATGTACCGGTATGTAATTTTACCTAGCGCTTTACTGACCTGCCATAGCATCCATATCTGATGCACGCTTTACTCACATTTACGCTAATGCACGACCGACACCTGCCGATTGAGCACAGTACAAGAATGTCTCCTTCAGAAGCTTTCCATTGGTCTCAAAGTATATCACTATTTAGCAGAAAATTGTCACCTGCCCCAATTGAGTCCTCATCAGAACGCGATGCTTTGTGGGCAACTTCTATTCTTCTTGGTCTCATTGCATTCTGCCATATTGAGTCAAGGACCTCACAAGAAGCATGGCCTCTGAGGTCACCTTCATCTTTAGATCTAAATTGGCTTGTGATGGGATACGGGAAGTCGCAGATTCTGAAACTGGTTCAAGACAAAAAAGCGAGCGCATTCAGAACATTGATAGCACCTGAAACTTCACCACTATCCACACACATTCGCCTTGAGACATTGCCTCCAGCCTTCATCACAATTTTTAATTTACATCCCAGTTCCAAATCAAATGATAATCCATATCGTCTTGCAGCGTCTCTATTGTCAGATGCCATCGATGTCGACGTTGATATTACCGTCATCTTGAAGTTTTGCGCTTTTGTCGGCGAAACGCATCCACAATACAAAAGATTGCTCTTCCAAAAAGAACCTCGAGCTCTCTTGTTACTGGCCTATTGGTATGGGAAACTTTGCCAATTTCCACATTGGTGGGTTTGGAGACGTGCATCATTGGAGTGTCAGGCAATCTGCATATACTTGGAAACTTTTCACAAACATGACTTGGATGTTCAAACACTTTTAGTCTATCCGAAAATGATGTCTGGGCTTTGAAATTGATGTTCTATATAAACTTTGGTAGTCAGTGCTGTCATGGCGCGATTTGTACTTTGATGGTCAATGGTCATGTATTACTATCACTCATAGCACCTGATACATTTTGACCACCACGGGAGGATTGATTCGGTTTTGCTGTCTTTATCTCATCACAAAACTATTCCCATCATCTACCTCATTCGTTGTGTTCCTGTACATGTCAATTTCTCTTCCGCCACAGGGCGCATCCCAAGAAAGAGTTCTCTAGTATTTGTCCGTCGTAAAGGCTTTTGCGATCTCGAACATTCTTGAGCGTTCCCTTTTGGGTCCGAAGAGCGATTGGTAACATCCAAATCGCATTTCGATGTCGATAGATTAGGAGCAAATAGAACGAAGCGAAATTTTCGCAGTATCTTCATTGGCCTCTCTACAAGTTTCCATTCGCTTCCAGCAATTGCCTCCGACGTCCACACAATCAATCGCCAATAGTCTGAAATCTGAGCCACTATTATTTTCTTTGTGTTTCGGGCGCATTCAAGATGAGGGGTATTTTCACCTACACTTTTGTCACTTATTTTCGAGGCGACTTGTTCATTGTTATCTCTTTGTTCATCACTGTCGTGCTATTGTCTCTCATTTGTTCTCCTCCCGGCTTGGTTTATTATAAATAGTACTGTCTCGCCCAACATCTCTATCATCATCAACTTTACACCATCAAAACCCAAGGAAACCCAAAACCAAGCTAACAAGCATATTCAACATCGGCATCAAGCCAAGATCTCGTTGAAATATTCCTGCAAACATGTGTCTCAGTGTAGGTAAACCTTCCAGCAGCTCCTGCACGCAGCCGAATACGGGAGTCACTGATGATCAACCAGCCCCTGTTATTCAAGACCATATCGATGGTTGGGTGTGTTGTTGCTGTGGCATGGATAATGGCGGTAATTATGTGTGGTGTGCAGGCTGTAGTCATTACACAATCGATTGCATTTCCTGCTTTTCCTATTAGGTTACTCTCGGGCCAGCATCATGTAACATGTGCCATCGCAATGGACTAGCGTCTGAGCTATTGCCTTGGTGTTTACCTTTCTATACATCCTAACAGTCAATTATTCCATACATTTTAAAAATACTGCGTCATGATAGTTCAAGTGTGTATAGTACCCAAAGTGATACTAAGAGTCCAAATTAGAAGTGAATGTTATTGTTGATCGCTATGTTGTTGTAATATATATTTATGTATGATCGAATATGGAAATAGTAGCTGGGAGAGAATTCTACAGTAACGGAATGAAGGATGATGATGGGGATGAAAGGAAATGGATAATTGGTTCAGGGACACAGCCCGTGATCTTGGACATGAGTTGCCCAAAAAATGGGAAGGTGTTGATGATGGTAATTAGTTGATGAGAAAATGGAAGATTCATGGGAGGTATCAAGTGAGGAGTCAGGAGGATCTTGTGAGAGTGAAAAAGGTTTGAAGTTTATATTAAGAAAAATTTGTGTTCTATCGACATTTCTAGTAGATATTATTGAGAAATGAACCCGTCTATCCGTCATCTTAAATGAATGAAAATCCTCCAACATTAATATATGCATAACCTCCCTGCTTCATAGATTGTTGCTGAAAAAGTCAATGCCCACAAAGAGTAAAATACAGAAACAATTTTGAGGTGGTGTCTCTCAGCCAGTTCTTCCCATCTTTCTATCTGCGGCCATCTTTGTTGCATCCGCAAAATCTCCTAGATTATCCGCCCAGTTCACCACCTGTCTTGCCCAATCAGATAATATTTCGTCCCCGCGCAAAACTCTTTCCAAGGGGGGAAGTACTGGGAAAAAACAGTCTGCTTGTTGGCTATATGACAGCGAATACCAGTTGTCATACTGCACGTTGATCTGCAGCACAAATCCACCCAGAATGATTCTCAACTCAATACAGGATTTTCGGATAACACTTAATGTGTCATTTCGTGCCCGGTAGATGGATAATTGCTCCTCTCTTTCTCTTTCTTTATTTTCGACTTGATATTCTGAAAGGCTGCTTTTTTTCCAAGGCATCCATGCAGTCCAGGTTGCAGCCAACTTATCATTCATGTCGATTTCTCTTCTGACTTTGTTCCTCTCCGTTTCCAGGTTTTGAATTGTTTGCTCAATGTGAGGTACAACATCCTGAATTTGTGATCTTAGAATCTCACATGCTGTCAATGTCTTTCGTGCTTGCCGAAGAATCAGCCTCTCCAAGTCTGCTGTATCACCAACCACACCCATGTGTAGTGAAATTATGTTGGATATGAGCTGCGTAGCAGCTTTCTCCGAATCCCTGGATGACTGCCCGCAGGATTGTGGCTGTCGGTTGCATTGGATAATTTCCTCAAGTGCGATGATCTTTTTTTTCACTTCCGTAGCTTTTGTATTTGTTGTGATACTTAAATTCGAGCATGCCTAGAATGAAGTATCAAAAAATATGGAAGCAGAGTCCTTTGCGATAACATCATATTCTAATAATCGAACTAGAGCGGAATGGAGAGCAGGTGATTGATCATATATGTCTGGAAGATGTTCTTCAGCATAAATCTTCCAGTCTCTTGTCATGTTATCCATTTCTACAGGCATTAGGCCTCGAGCCAAAATATCTGGTTTGGTATCTTTACAAGAACGGTGATTTCCAGTTTGTTTGAAAGGAGGTGATCCACGGGGCTGGTATCCTTCAAAACCACGTGGAAAGGCAAAATGTGTTATCTCCCACCCATACAGGACCCAAAGTAGGACAAAGAGTGCACCAAAGACTGGTGTTGGCAGAACAACTCCAAAAACCCATCTAAATGCTGATTTTTTCTACCAAAAAGCTTACATTAGCCACCTCTCACTTCCCGAATTGTCGTTCTTGTACATACCTTCTGCAATTGTCGTTCTATTTGTTCGGAAACTAACATACTGCCATCTCCTGAATGCTCTTCAGTATTTGAAGTGTCGTTAAACGACCGACTGTTGAATAAGTTCAATGATATATTTTTGAACGACATTTTGTTGAACAACATACTTTTGAATAATATATTTATTGAATGCTTTATCGCTGGATGATCTGTTGCTAATAAACTATCAAAACGAGTGTCTTTCTAGATACAATCAATGCTCTATCCCTGTTGCCTTTGATAGGAAGTATTAATCTAGAAGCGTTGTTTCCAAGAAAATGAGCTGAAAAAGATCCAAAACATGGCAGAGACAATTTAAAAATGAGAATCTACGCCACTGTTTTCTGTGGGATTAGGCATTGAAACTTAATCTTTTGGGGTGAAACAAAAAAACAAAGAAAATGTAAGAAGGAATCCAGATGCGGTACGCACCCGCTATAAACTCCCCCAGGGAAAGCAACAAGGAAAGTGTGAGAACAAGCCGATCTACACGGCTCCTTTTGCTACACCCTCCCTCACTTTTCCTGTCTTTTCCTATCTTTTTCAATTTCTTCTGCACCCTCCTTGCAACATCACCACTGAAAAATCTCTGCTCTACGAAAAACATTGGCATCAATCAGTCAATCAGTCAATCAAAGAAAGAAGGATAGCAAAGTGATTCTACCAGAGGTACTGTTCCCCACCATTATAATAACAGACTATAGATGCTCACGCATAGCCAATTGAAAAGGGTAAAGCAGAACATTCTTCGAATTATATCTCCTTTGATTTTCAGAACTCTTATTTCCATCCATCACTTAGATGGACAGCAGTATGGTGGCGACTTTGGCAAATGAGTTGACTCAAAAGTTGAAAAGAAACGAAGAGAGAAAGCAGAAACAAGATCAGAATGTCAGGTCAACCCACCGAGCAGGTTATTCTGAGGATAGACCCTCACAACAAAGGACTCCACAAAAACGTGCTCATGATATTAGCTTGAAAACCAATGCTCGAAGAAGAACCTCAAGAAGCCTTCTTACAAAAGAGAAGAGAGGAGTATCAACGAAGGTAAGGTTTGATTCACTACACGTAAGGTAAATGGGAGAGCCACTAATGGCAATCGTCTACTTCTAGAAACGAATACATGGCACTTCTTCATGGAGTGAGTCCCAAAATACTCCGCAAACTAGATGGTCTTCTGTGAAGAAGTTTGTGCTTCAGTGCATTGATCAGATTATTTTCATGATCATCATTGTATTTGTACTAGTCATCATTTACAATGGTCGCCAAAACTTTAAACAATGGGTTCATCGTTGGCCCTTACAGCCAATGACCATTGTTTTCTCAGTGTACAACACAACAAAGGAGCATATTATAGCATCGTGGGAGAAGATACCTTTTCAACTTTTCCAATCTGTTATTCCTGAGTTAGGCAATGAGCCGAAAGAATCCCATAACAATGGCCAAAATGATGATTCCACTGCTATTAGCCCGAACATCGAACAGGCCCTTCTGGAGGGGGGTCTGTCAGTTACGAGGAGGTACCCTAGCACCAGCTTTGAACTAGGATACATCATAGCCATGCGGGATATGTTTGAGGAAATCGGAGGACATTATATTAATGAGGCTGACCTCAAAAAGATACTTCTGGAAATATCTTTGTTTCACGAAGCTATGGGGACTGCAAAGCGTACATATGAAGATTTTTTGAGGGACTTTTATGGTGGGACTTGGGCTATGTATCATCTTTCACATGGTTTATTCGTAAATACACAAAATACATACAACGAATTCGAAGAATCAACGAAGAAAAAGCGGCAATATGGTTGGGAAATACTTTTCATCTTCTCCAAGAAAGATCAGCCAGCCGAAGTTGCAGTAGAAGAGATAAAGTTACTCTTTCAGCAACATATCACCCTCTGGTTTGAGATCATCGTTGGTCTTCATGAAAAAGCAAAAGAAGCGATATTACATTTCCAGCACCTGAAGCGACGAATCTCCGGCCTCAACCTCATTATGGAGCCCCACCAGAACATGTTGTATGACATGATGAAAGAATACCCAGAACACAGCTGGACAAACTCATTGGCTATATTCTTTAATCATGAAAATCTAACACGAGAAGCAAAAGGCGACTTGGCGGAATTCCTTGCGGATAAAAGGGCCAGTCTCTGTTCAGTTCTGAGCCTACATGATCATAACACCAGAGCTACAGCTATAGCTGCAACACTACGGACGATGATGGAGAACTGCAATACTCTAATGAAAAATTGTTATGAGATATCAAATAATAAAGCACCAGGTTGTTCTCTTCCCTATATCCCAATGTCTGCGGAGGATTTGTCAAAATCCAATTTGAATGCAATTGTAGATTGGGCAGAAAAAGGAGCACGACGTTTGAGTACTGTGACCCTTGAAGCGGGTGAAATTCGCAGAATGGAATTTGAGAGATGGATAGGCCTTTAGATAAGATGATGAATATTCTACAAAGAAGGAAAGAAGTTGCTAGAGAAGCACCGACTATATAGGATGTGGAAGCCGTATGCGTTAATTTAGGCTAACTAGAACGGGTTATGAACCCGTGACAAGAATTGGAAATGAGAATTGGAAATTGAGAGTTGGCTAGAGAAAAACGATGGGTCCTGTCATTCTTTTGGTATTTCTCTTGTTGATATCGCGTTGGTGAGTGCTAGGATATAATGGTCAACGTTGTGCACCACATGGTTCAGTGTCTTTATCCGATTAAAACTGTATTTCCTGTGTGGCTCTTTCTTTTAGTTCTTTAGGCAACTTAGCCTTGATACTCAGAGCTATGATATGTTGTACAAATTTCTTGATTGATGCTTTATTCTTTCTGTTCTTCGTCCCTAGCTCTATCTTCTTAGAATTCAGTGCTATGCTTTTCCGCGAAGTCCCAGATGGATCCAAGTGAAAGGTAAGCTGAATGTGATTAAATGCCTTCTACCAACCTCTAATCTTTCTCTGGTGCATATACTTTTACAAAAACCGAAAGTAAACGCCAAAATTCCCCGGCTGCCATACAATGAACCAGAAATCGGCCCATTTTGACAATTTGCTGAGACGTAGTATTGGTGCCGTGTAGATGGGTGCCTCATATGAAGCAAAGCTATATTTCAAAAAGCTTTCCAGTACCACCTTTCTATACTAGCACTTAGGTTTTATCTTGAAGTACTTTCCTGCTTAGTTTTTCACATCAAATATGAATTGCAAAGGATATCCAACTCGTCACCAAGCCGCCAAAGCTCTCAATCTCTCTATCCCGCGCTGCCTTCCTGCCCTATGCGTGCTCAAGTTACAACTGGTGATGTTGTAAAAGTTTGTACCACATCCGCCACGCGCCCCGCACCCCTGCTGAGTTCACCCTCCTTCAAGGTCTCTTCAATGAGAGACTTTGATACTCGAAACCGCGAATCCGCCGCCAGCTATGTATCTGTGTCACGTATAAGGTGTTTGATAGCTGCGCAATATCGTATAATTTCTTCAAACAAAGTTTCCCATTCCAGCCGCTCGCATTTTTGTTTGCAATGAAACACGAAAAACAAATCTCGTCCCTCTGTCCATGAACCTGCCTGCAGAAGCTTTTTCCCTTCTTTGCAAGACAGCTGCGTGCACAATCCAAGCAAATCCAATCGACCAAATTACAATCCTCCGCCGACATACCTTTACAAGTCTCAACTGGAGACCCGCAGTTTGCCATCATAGTGAGCTTCGTGATGTCCGTTGCTTGAATTGTCGTGAAATAATAATCTAAACGCTACCCACATGACATTAGCATGTTTCATCTCATAGTAACTCAGATCATCATTGAAGGAATCATAAAACTCCATACTTTTTTTCTCTCGTAGTAACCAATAAAATGAGTACGCCAATTGCAGCACTCACAGATCGATTATCTCGTCGCCATCTTCTTGAGCACCATCAAAAGAAAACCACCAACTTTAACATCGACAAAGCCAGCAATACTTAGCAAAGACTTTTTCTTTGTCTTCGCCATCCTATGAACTCGTATATAAATGCAGGAATAAAGGAACGACCGAAAACTTCAAGAGCTCCTCGCAATGATGTTCTTTATCCATCATCACATACATTGAAAAAGGAAATTGTGGGTGAAAATAGCTTGCTATTCTTGGTCTTGATGAGCTCAGTCAAAGTCACTAAACAAAAAAGGAAGAACAAAAGACTTTATACAAAGTACAGCGAGCTGCGCAACGTTTATAATATACGGGGAATATGGAGGATACGGGAACAGATGACTCCATAGAGTATAGAACGTTCGGCTGTAGTAAGACCAGTGTCACGATGCTGGCAATGGTGGAGATCATATACTGATATTCTATGTAGGTACTAAGAGAATTGTTAGAGCATCCTTGACTATATGGAGGAGAGTGTATATCCATACTAGCTAGAAACGGGTAATGTATTTGCGACCATATCCACTCGTTCAAACTCCGTTTATCTTTAAAAGCTAGCAAGATAAAATAAGAAAGTATCCATCAAACAAACCGACTTCGATCTGACCGTTTCGACCGTCACTGGGCTATTATTGGCGGCATTGGTGCCTTGTGCACTATCGGTGGTGGCATGATTATTGCCGGTAGCAAAATGTGTCGCAGCTTGGTGTCAGATATTATTCTTCGTCTTCTTGTTCGTCCCGTCCAAAGCTCTCTTCGGATTCTGATTCGGAGCCATACCGTGATATCTGTTCCTCCCGTCCAAAGCTCTCCTCGGATTCTGTATCGGAGCCATACCGTGATATCTGTTCCGCATCTTCTTTCGACTTCCAACTTCCAAATTTACAAAAACAGATGTACCCGCCTCGCAATACCAACAAGCATACAATAAATTCAATAATTAAAATGTCCCATTGACAAATTGTGTTTGAAAAAAATGGAAACCCTCTCGAGTCCACAGATGACCATGCCACCACGTTCAAGTCCTTCTTGTATGTCAAATCCATGGTGAACCTTTTACAATTATCATCAAACATCTCCAGCTCTGTTTCGTTTGCTTTGTTGAATTTGAAAATCCTCATGTTCCAAAAGTCATCCACAAATTTCGTTGGTAGGAAATTATCGATCCCATGAACAAAGTTAACCACCTTCGCTGCATTTATCAATGTCCAATTGGTACAATTACCGTCCGACTCCAGCTCCGGATTGTAATCAAATAGCCATGGCTTTCTCCCACCGAAGAGCTTTTTGACCCTCTTTAATCGTTCATATTCATAATATTTCAATTCGTAGTAATAATCCTCTCTGTATTCGTTGTATGTTTCTGCGGTTCTGAAAATCTGTATGTCTTGTGCGAGCAAATTATAAAACCAACTTTCGTTGTGGCGATTTCCATTTTTATCAGGGTGTAGGTCCCTGAGCAGTTCCCTGTACTTTATCTTTGTAGGTTCATAAGGGGCATTGAGTGGTTGGTTCACATTGTACCAGATAGGGCTTATACCGATACGTGGGTAACATTTGCGGGAAGACATGGTGGTATACCGGGGTAAATGACATGGAAAGGAATGTTTTGGTAGAGTGTGGGTGATTTAGAGAAATGGGGATTGAAGAAGCCAATATGACTTTAAATATTAATGTTGAATCGTCCAGCTAATGGGGGAAACAAAAATATCCTCAAAGAGAGCGTGAAACAAAAAAAATCCAACAAAGCAGAACCAGAGGAGATGGACAACCTTATTCAATTTTCAAAATTTTTCCGAGAGGCGTCTTTATTAGCCTCCTCTAAAACATTACAGAACAAAGAAAAATATCAAGCTCCGAGTGAGCCTGTGCTATTTTGGGCCATCTTCCTCATTTCGTTGTGATGTCTCTTGAATGAACAGATTCTAGAACCTTTCTGTTGGTATCAATCTGGTATAATACTACACTACGAGGCGAACTTTGGATATCAAAACAGTTACCATTTATGACACAACGTTAACTGTCATTAACACCCATTCTAGCTGGGCTATCAGGCAATGCATCTTCCAAGCGATTCAATTCAAGAGAGCTGAATGCAAAGGCAAAATGGATTGGTCTTAGATGTGACACATAACACGTTTGAATAGTCCGACCAAAAACCCATAATGTGCATGGCAAAGCCACCAACGCCTCAAATGGCTGAGCACAGACATTGATCAACTACTTAGAATGCTACACTGGAAGTCTTAAGGTTGTAAGATCTTATGTGTTTCATAACTTCTGTCCTGCAAATATTCTAGATGAAAAGTCTCAGTGCCGAAAAAGTGCCAACCCGTTAGTTCAGAGTGGCAGGCACTCTGTCTTTCATTTTCCCGTACAAATAGGAAAGATACGGGAGGAGGTCTCAATCACTGGCGCAAATCAATATGCTTGGCTGATCATCATCTTGGTCATTCTTTCTCTCTGGAGTTCCAGCATCATTACTGTTGCATCATTCATCTAAAGAAATTGTTTCTACATCCATCTATTCTTTGAGAATGCCAAAAAATTTACCAAACTGCATAAGCTTTGTTGCTGGGCTACTTGCGGCTAGGAGAAGATTATCAGGGCGGTGGTGATCATATCAGACTTCAGAACTCAACTTCGTTATCCTCCCATGTTTCATATCCCGATCCCACGCTTCTCCTAGTCGACTCGGAATCTAACACTGGGCCAGCAGCCTTTAGTATCAAGTGTTTTTCATGTCAAACCCTCAAGTCAACAACAAGGTCCTCGCCGACCAACACCAGCTGCAAAGTTGGCCCTACTAGTTCTCCACATTCAGTGCCAAGAAATGGACAACTGGCTACCTCTAAACCTTCTGTGCCATACCCCTAATTTTCCCACCGCAGCTCAAGCCGCCGGCCAAATAATGGCTCGATCAGCACGAATAAAGAGTCTTCAGATTCCGATCCATTGGATACCCCCTCGCTATCTATGCCGTACTCCTCATCTCCACATCGCGGCTCAAATCAACGATTAGGCAGTGGCTCAATCAGCACAGGTCCAGAGTCTTCGGCTACTGATTTACTCGAGACAGGTCTTAAAACCTCATTTAGCCCCAATCGAGAGTCCTTGGCTTCTGATTTATTCGACTTAGAGTTCCAAACAACGCATAAATCATCAAGCCCGAGGCTTACCTGGCCTCAAATGAAGTATCATAGCATGAGAGTCTTCTGCTGTGTCGGAACCAGTAGGATATTAAGATCTTTTGGAAGTAATAGATGACATAGCTGCTGACGGCTCGAAGTTCTTCACAAAGGGTTTGAAAGGAATGAATGAGCTTCTAGAAAGTAGAGAAGGTGTTATGCCTCTGAGGCAATTTCTGAAAAACAAGGGATATTCACAAAAGATCTTAGCAACAGACCTGTAAATCTTTGTCAGCAACACACCAAGCTTCTTTAATAAGAACAGTAATTCGCTATACGATAAACCCAGCTTAACGAAGAAGCAACGTAAACTTACTCAGAGACATTCCAAACTCTTACAACAATACTACAAGCACGCTGAACAGGACCAAGCAGGCTGAGTAGGAAACTTGGACGGAATCAGAGCTGATTCAATTCACAGTAAGCCAAACTGGAGACAATTTTCTCATCCAGTTTATCATTAAATAAAGGCGAAAGACTTCTGAGTGACTTTCAAGTTTCTTTGGAGGCAGTGATGAGGGACATACTGTTCCTAGCACACTCTACACAGCTAATTCACCAAAGAGAGAATTCGTGATTTCACCACTAAACATCCTGGCTGTAGCTAGCCATGAAATTATCTGCGGGGAATCATGATATCATGCAAGCCATTTCCAAAATTCGCTTGCTATCACTGTCTCTGGAATGAGAAAGAGCAAACGTGTATTTAGAGAGGAGGGTATTTTGTCAGGTTCTTGAAGCTGGTTGAATGAATTTCATTTCCAAAGGCCCTAGCATTTGAAATATGATCGTGTGAGGGACCGATGTTTTGTGGCACATGGATTTAACTTTTCGGTAAGAGAAACTGAGAACTAACACACAATTGAAGATGAAAGAATGTAATCCAGCTTGTACTACAAATCAAGAAGGAATGGAGGCATCGGAAAAAAGTGAACACAGTATTATGGTTCCTGGGTATTCTATGGGTGCAGAATTCACCTCGTACCTGTGCCCGATTTCTACACGCTGTGAGAAAGTTGATTTTCTGATGGGCAGTACGTAGCTAGTCTATAGTCATACGATCACAAGGTTCTTGATAATTAGACCCAAGGAGAGGGCTCTTCCTTTCTTCTTCCAGAAATCAATTGTTTGGTACATCTCTTGCGTACAACCAATCCCGCTGTTTTTCATTATCTTCCCTCTTCAACTTTACAATCAGGAAAGCTATAGTTGCAAAATAATGTCGAGCTATCATCACGTATTTGATTCTTCCTCCCGAAATATCAAGTAATATATAAGATTAACCTTGTCTGAAAAAAAAGATATGATCTTAGTTCTTTCTCTTTTCACTCTTTCTTTGCTTCTTTAATTATTCTAGAAGAGAAAAAAGTTCAACTGTCTCTGTATTATTATATTCCTTTGTGTGTGTATTGATATTATAATTATTTAAATAATATTAAAAAAGAAGACTACTTTAAACAAAAAGATTATTTCAATCAAAAATCCTTTGATATTATTAATATTTGTAATTATAAAGATTATTAAAATGAATTAAATATTTATAAAAATAATAAAAGAAAATTTTTTAAATATTAATATTATAATAAATATATTGATTATAAATTAATATAAGAATTAAGATATTTAAATTAAAAACTTTATAATAATAATAAATAAAGAGATTTCAAAGATTGAATTCTTAAGTTTATAAATTAATTTCTCAAGATTGTTAAAAATAAAAAGAGTAAAATTTATAAAATTTGATAACGATATTAAATACCAGGGGCCTGTACCCTTTGAACTTTCAACTTTTTGAGAAAGTTTAATATAAATTTAAATATTGAATATATATATATTAGAGTGCAGACAAAGTATCGACTTGTTTTTGATAATTGAAAATTAAATATTATTATTATTATTATTATAAATTGAATAAGTTGAATAAGTTGAATTGAATGAATAGAGTTGAATTAAATGATTCTAGAATTGAATGATTTTAATAGAGTCGAGTTGAATGATTCTAGTAAAGTTGAATGATTTTGTAACGATCTGGTCGAGGCAGCGGCTGCCTGAGGTTTCGTATGGTTGGTAGTTGTGGGTTAAGGTTATTAATTACTGGTTATCTATTTGAAAGTGAATTCGTTATTAGATCAATTGGAAGGTAGGTAAACTAATTGATAACTAAGTTGAGCACGAAGCTCCTAAACTATGAAACTATTCTGGCTATATACTAATCTCTTTCTTTGTATGCTAGCTATACTAGCTGGCTAGCATAGCTAGCAGAGCTAGCACATCATGTGATTGATCCTGAAGCTTCTCCTTTCCTAAAGCCTTTCCTTTCTTGGAACACTTGTCTCAGAAGCTTTTCCTTTAGGAACTATAACCCTAAGATACAATATTGTCTAAAGTGATTATCTTATTTCAACCAATTAGCTAGGATACTTGTCCTAATCTAATATAGTTGCCTAGGATACTTATCCTAGGAATCCTGGAATCCTATTTGTAAATGATTAGGCCCCCTGAAAGCAACAGCTAAATCATACCCCCTCTATAGTCGGCATATAAATCACCGACATCAATAATACTACTATAATGAAAACTATAAATCGTAATAATATATATATATATATTTAATTATTTAATTATATAATTATAATTTAAATTTGACTTCTAGTGTTTTAATCTAAGGATTATTTATATCTGTATTATATATTAATATTATTAAAAATTATTAAAGATTCAAAAGCAAATTTTTGATTATCAAATATTATATTTGTTATAATTGTATAGAAATAGACTTGTCCGCCTCAGTATCTAGATCACGATTTCTTTTCCCCGCCTCGCATCCCTATCTCCGAGCTCTAGCAGAAAGCACCGAGCTCCAATGCCCCGCCTATAACATATCCCGAACCGAGCCGAACATGTAAGTGAACGCAAATGACCATAATTGAACATTACCTTTCCGTTCCACTATAGAAAAGAGATGAGTTTTAGACGATAGGGGTGTAGATTGAAGAATAGAACTGACAGGGTATTTATACCCGGATAAGCACTAGATCTAAACTAAACTAGCGTACATGTGACCTGATAAAATTACTCTTGTTACAACTATCCATTTAAACTACCATTCTACCGTCACGTGTGATAATTGTATGTTCCTTTGTAAAACTTGTTTGCAGGCATGATAATGCGGCGTAGCTTGGCACCAGCCATTTCCATCTTAAAATGAAACAATCGGAGCTTATATTTCACACATTTTGGCCACCCGATTACTCGATAAGCCTCACCGATACTTTTGGATCCCATTCATTGGATTCAATAACATGGAATGACTTCCCCGCAATGGCGATGGCGACAACAAGTGGGTCATGAAGGATTTGAAGGAGTGCGGAGAACTCCTTGAGGTTCGATGCGGCTATAGGGCGTTACAGGATCTTAGCACTACGAGAGGCCTGTATTCTGATACCCGAGCCACCTAATCAGGGCTAAGCGAGCCCATAGGCACCATCGAGGCCGAATGGCAATTTTGCTGGGGTAATTGTGGGGATTTTGAAGAAACTTTACTAGGGTTTTGACCTCCATGGGGTAAAGATAACGGCATGGATTTGAGTTGACGATCTTTATCTCATTCGGTGACTTAACGTGGAGTAGCTCTAGTAGCTTAGAAATTCGCTGAAGGATGCTTCCGTCAAGCGTTTATCGACCCGAGTTTACTACTTCAGTGCACTCACTGGTAGGTGTTGAAGCACATCTTATCATCTGAACAAATCTTTCTTCCTGTCAACTTTTAATAAGCAACCAATCCAAGATGAGTGTCCGACCTTACCGAGTAGAACGTTTTTAGTTCGTAATGGACGACGATCTTGTCCGTGAAGTCATAGCCAAGGAAGACGATCCTTCTCATGCTCGTGTACGTTCCTTGTACACACATAATCTCGTACCATGGGGTCGATTAGTTTTTATCGGAAAAATCAAAACTCTTATTGAGCATGTTCCAAATCGAAATATCAAACAAAACCCTTTTGCTTACTTCCGTCACTCAAGCATACTTACAAATATCCTTAAATTTGAAATGTTACAGGGAATATAATGACCCACGATAGAACTCTGTAGGCCACGTGCTTCTCATTAGAACAAAGTTCTACGGAGTAGTTCTTGCCGATCACTACAAATCGTAACTATTCCCATTATCAAATATTAAAATAATATATTTTATGTTCATCGCTTAAATATTTCACAGTCATAATTATACACCTGGAATGACATTATACGATTGGAGTTAATTCAAGAATTATAAGCAATGCATATTCCAAAAGCTTATTGTGGTAGTGGTAGTGCGTTGCTTTGGCTTATTAAATCGCGCCATAATCTGAGGCGAGCGCGCGCCAAATATATTTGAAATTGCCCTAGCTCAGCCTAGTCAATGTAACCTAAGCTTGCATTAGAACTTCAAATAGCACGTTTTCCCCATTTTCCTTGAAAATTACCTTGGATCCTAGGACTGGAGTTTAGGTACTTTATCATGTTTTTTCTTCTCGGCCGTGCCGACTCTGACTGGCGATCTTGTACAAGGGTTTCACAGTTTGGTTGGTCAACTATCGACAAGAACGTGGTATTGCTGTCTACTTTGCATGCATGCACGTACAAGGATGTAACCTAGGCATATGTAGTTACATTTTGAAGGGGCAGAAGGTTGGATGATACCAAATCAAGAGGCATAAGTTTATATAAGGCTCATGATTTCCCCAATTTTTTTTCTTACTTGCTTATCCACTTCCCCAGCTTTTCCCAGGTCTTTTGCTGTGTTTCCTTTGTCGCGCAAAATGACTTCAGTGAAGGATCAGATTGACCATGTCAACACTGTTGAACATGCCCATCCAACTACACATGTAGATCTAAATAATAACGTTACCGCCAAGTAAGTTTTGGTCAACTATTTCAGTCCTGTGAAATTGAGTTATTCGCTAATCACTAATTTATAGAATACAAAATCCTTTAGCTGGATTATCAGAAGCGACCATCATTCGAGACGTAGGAGAATTCGCACAAGCCAACGATCTCAACGATATCCTTCCCTTACTGGAAAAGGGGGCTTTGGTAGCGGCTGATCCAGGGAGTTTCGAAAGCGTAGAGAGATTGGAGGAAGAAGAGAAAGTGGCTTTACGATATGAAGCGGCGCATAGATGGAGTCATCCAAGGACGCTTTACTTGACCATTATTACCTGTTCTCTCGGTGCGGCTGTTCAGGGTTGGGATCAGACGGGTAGTAATGGAGCGAATCTTTCATTTCCAGCAGAGTTTGGTATCGGTCAGGGAGATAACCCCGCTTCTCCTCATCATGATCGTGATAATTGGCTTGTGGGTTTGGTTAACGCAGCTCCATATATTGGATCAGCTTTTTTGTGAGTCAAGATTATGCTCATTTGACAGTTCATCATGACTAATTTGGATATAGGGGATGTTGGCTTAGCGATCCCTTCAATGCCTGGTTTGGGCGTCGTGGTACAATCTTTATTGCAGCCATAATTTGTATCTTTACTCCAATTGGAGGAGCTTTTTCAAAATCTTGGGGAACTCTTTTCCTTAGTCGTATAATTCTTGGCATCGGAATGGGCCTGAAAGGAAGCACAGTGCCAATTTTTGCCGCGGAGAATAGTCCAGCTATGATTAGAGGTGCATTAGTGATGTCATGGCAAATGTGGACTGCTTTTGGTATTTTCATGGGTTTTGCTGCAGTAAGTAGTGGCTCGTCTCAACCAAAGGAACAATCATTTAGCTGACATTTCTCCAGAATTTGGTCGTCATTAATACAGGAAAGATTGCATGGAGACTTCAAATTGGCTCTGCATTTATTCCAGCTCTTCCTCTTGCGGCTTTGATTTTCTTCTGCCCAGGCAAGTATATCCTATCCTTAAAATCCCACAATTCTTCAATTAACTAACAATTGCCAACAGAATCTCCACGGTGGTTGATGAAGCGAGGAGAATATAGAAGAGCCTACAATTCTCTTTGCCGACTTCGGAAGCACGATCTTTTTGCTGCTCGTGATCTCTACTTCATTGACTGTCAGCTCAAAATCGAAGCAGCCATCGTTGGTAAAACCAACTACGTCAGTAGATTCATCCAACTCTTCACCATTCCCCGTGTACGAAGGGCAACGCTTGCATCGTTCACCGTGATGATTGCGCAACAGATGTGTGGTATCAATATCATTTCGTTTTATTCTTCGACTATTTTCAAGCAGGCCGGTACTAGTGAAAAGAATGCTTTGATTGCAAGTTTTGGTTTTGGATTGGTAAATTTCGTATTTGCGTAAGTCTTTCTGGGGGTTTCCCCAAAACTTTATATTTCTGTAGTATGATGCTAATGATACGCCCACTATCTAGCTGGCCAGCTATTTGGACCATTGACACCTTTGGTCGACGCTCTCTACTTCTCTTTACCTTTCCACAGATGGCTTGGTCTCTCCTCGCAGCTGGTCTCTGCTTCCTCATCGATGAGAAATTAACTGCGCATATTGGACTCATCGCGACATTTATTTACATATTCGCCGCATTTTACTCACCAGGGGAAGGACCTGTTCCTTTCACATACTCGGCGGAAGTGTTCCCCTTATCACACAGAGAAGTAGGAATGGGCTGGGCCGTCGCAACTTGTTTATTCTGGGCAGCCGTTCTCTCAATCTCTTTCCCTAAGATTTTAGAAACATTCCATCCTGTGGGAGCTTTCTCATTCTACGCGTATGTTCCCTCCCTCCTTCCCTAAAATACAAATCCAACTAACACCAAATAGAGGACTCAATATCGTCGCCTTCGTAATGATATTCCTCTTTGTTCCCGAAACCAAACAACGCACCCTAGAAGAACTCGACTACATTTTCGCAATCCCAACCCGCACATTCATGAAATATCAAATCACCAAAACCCTTCCATATTGGGTTCAACGATACGTATTCATGAGGAAGAATGCGGTGCTAGAGCCACTCTATCATTTTGATGAGACGTCTGATTTCAGAGCGCCCGATACCAAGAACACGGGGATCCCGGAGCAGATTGAGAAGGTGGAGCCGGATAAGAGTAGTGGGAAGGAAAGTGCGGAGATCAATGCTTGAGATGATTTAATGGATGAAGTGGCTAAGAAATTTGTGGCCATGGGTAGATAGTTTATCTATTTGTGGGACATAGATAAGGATGCATAGAAAGAAATACAGGAAGAAAAGCCGACCTGTAGTATATTTCCATTTCGAGTTGTTTCTGTGACGTCTATAATGTAGAGTGAAATTAAAATTCTAATCAAAATTTATATCAGAAGTATAATAATATAAAAGAATATAAAAGCTCAATGATTTAAATTACAAAAGTAATAATAATATGATTATTTATTAAATAAACTAAAATAATAAATCAGATATTTCATTTTTCAATTATTATTTAATTTCAATTATTTATATATTATTACGGATCTCGAACTATAAGGATGACCACATGATTCCTTTACCTATTGATAAACTGATAGTTTATATACTTGAGATCAGATTTACTCATTTTAATATAGGAATATAATGAACTTAAAATCAAATATATATAATTATATAACTATTATATAAATATTTTGTATATATATATATATATATTCCTTACAAATTATAGTTCTTCAATTGTAGATTTTAAGAAATATAATAAATCTTATTTATTTAAGTCCTATATAACTATTATATATTATATACATATTAAAAATTATTGTTTTTATTTTTTAATAACTTTTTAATAAATAAATATAATTCAATTAAATTTGAATTATTTATTTATTATATAATTATAAAAGAATTCTGAAAATTTTAGATTTTTTTATAATTAACTTCATTAAGATCTACTCGGGCTAGTCTTGAAAGAGAGTTAAAGATTTAATAAAATATATTTTTGTAAAAATTAAAAATTTTAATAAATAAATAAATAAACAAATATCTTTTAAATTTATAATATAATAAAATATAAAATAAACCTAACATCTTAAAGCTTTTAATAATCTTATTATAATTGAAATAATTAAATAGTCATATTTTTTCCTTTTTATAATCTTAAAATATATATATTGTATTTAAAAATCATTCTCTCATTCCCATTCATGATATTACTAAAAACGCCTATACATACCACCAAGATACAGTACACAACAGCCACCCGAAATAAATCCCAATTGTTTAATTTTGCCAAACCATTTTCCATACACACCATCCATGATTCTCGCAAAAAATAATCCCTGTAACCTCCTATCCAGTCTCCGTCTCAACATCCGGTTGCCTACCACCCAAACTCGTCTTATTTTTTATTCTTCTCGCCGCAAATTTCACCTCATCTTTTGCAAAGGCCAAATTTCTCATCGGCTTCCATTGCATCAAACCCCTTTGTTTCCTATGCAGACCTTTTGAACTCTCCTTATAATTTTGATACTGTTTTACCGGATTGTTCGAATGATTCGATCCATTATTCCTGTCCTGGTCTGCAGTTTCGTTTGTTGGTCCAGTTGTAGCATCGTTCAAACCGAGATCGGATTCTGCATCAGAATCTTCGGAATCTGAAGATGCAGTACTGGTTTTTTCGCTCATATCTTCATTAAGATTTGCTTCAACACATCCACTGGGTCCTTGTGGTTTACGAACCATGCTAGCCTCATAATCAGCATCCTGATACTTTTGTCCGTAACCACTCTTATCTACGTACTGCGCAGGATCCTGACCAAAAGCTCCACTCCAGTCGTTACCGTCTTGATCTAACCATTTCTTCTTTTCATCTTCATCAGCTTGACTGAGAACATCTCTTCCTTGAGTTAAAGACTGATCATGAAGTTGTTGAACAGCTGGTGGAACTTCTTTCCTCACAATTTTATCACGCACACCTTCAGAATGACATGCTTCCCATGTTTCTTGGGTTTCTCGAGAGTCGTTGTCAGTTACAAACTTTTCGTGAGCTTCATCCATACCAGCTTTGAATCTTCCTGAAAACTTGAGTCGTCCAACTTCTTCAATATTGATATCTGGAATATCGCGGAAATTCTCTTCGGTGATGTAGTTTTCAGTAAGTCTCATACCGTTATTGGTTCTCCAGATAGGGATACTGATCTCTTCCTCTTTATTATCTTCTAATTTGTGAAGCCAAATTACTGCATAAGCGTCTGCTCCACGTTTGCCGGTAACGTGAAACTCAAAAACGATTGGTGAACGGTAACGGTATTTGACGGGAAGACGAACCCTATTTTTCCCTTCTTTCTTGGCAAGGTCCCAAAATACACCATCACCTTCTTCCAACTTTCGGCATTGGGTACGATTGATTTTCCCAACACTTCCACCGGTTCGAAGCTTCAATTTTGAGTTTTCAGTATAACCAGTAGCGATAATTTTGTCGGATGTAAATTCAAAAGTTCCTACATCCCAACCGAGTTGTTGCGGTGGCAATCTTGTTTCGACGCTTCGGAAGAGAACAGAGATTCTGATCCGGCCAAAACCAATTCCACCATCAAGAGGATACCATCTTGTAACTTGAGAACTTGTTTGTAAGAGATCTGATAACTTCAAAGGAACAACTCCAAGGATTGGATCATGTTGTCTCATACGTTGATCTCTAACCGTAACGGTAACGATCGCTGATCTCCAATCACGGATGAAGCGTTCAGTGCCTGCATTGAAAATAGGCTTTGAACTAACAACCTTTGACCGTGTCCTATATACCTGAGATGGAGTTAGTATTGATAAATATGTATGGTGAAATGATGCATACTAATTCATCGTTGTACAAGATAGTACAATAACTACTTGGTAATTTTTTATGTTCCTCTTCCTTGTTCTCACCATATTCCACTGCTGGTTCATATTCTCTACCCTTTCGTTTACCATCACTACCTTTGATATTTTGTAATTCAAGGTTAACAATTTGGTGAACTATAACACTGCAAACGCCACTCGGCCATAATGGATCAGGAGGAGTATGAACCACAGCAACTTCTTCAGAAGTATCAAGGCTTCCTTTAGCGTCTTGTAATTCTTCCTTGTCTTGTAATTCCTTGGGTAGATTAATATCCTTTCCGTGACTTCTCATTGCCGGTCTGAATTGAGGTTTACCAAAGTATCCAACTTCCCAATGAAGTTCACCAGGCATAGAACTATCGGAGTCCATGCCACGAAGTTTAGAAACTTGTGGATACATTTTTCCTGGATGTTGAATCATTTTTTGCATGGAAAGTTCGACCTTACCAACAACATCATCCGAAGTTGATCTGTCAGAGTCCCAAAGTTCCATCGAAAGTTGTTCATCTGCTTTTATGAGATCAGGAGTGACAAGCAAAGCACAAGTTTCTTCCCAAACCGGATTGAGATCATCCTGGATAACCCGGGTACAATACATTGGTTTGCCGTATTTAGAGAAGCTGACAGTGATATAAGGATCACTTCCACCCCCATCACTCCCACGACGATCTTGTTTGCTTAAACCAGAAGCTCTGTGAATTCGAATCCACAGAACGCCGAGTGCTTCAACATCCTTTTGAATATCATCACCCTTTAACAATTTAGACATATCTAAAGTCATAGATTTTGGAGCAACGTATTCGTTCGCGGCGGCACCAATAGCGTAATTGACGAAATTGGAGATGAGAGGAAGGTTTAGGATATTGATACCAGTTTCCAGCATTGGCGTACATCCAGCTTGAATTTTTGGAAGTCCCATGAACGTAAATGTTAGAGCTTTCAAGAATGGAGGTTCTGGAGAAAGTTGGAGACGTAGCCGAACAGTACCAACGAGGCCTTGAAGTTCAACAAAGATTGGGAGAGGGCTACATGAATTAGCGCTGCCACAAGATAAGTGGAAATAAAACTTACATCCCGAAAAGTCCTTTCATACCAAGATAAAATACCAAATGCATATGCATGTTCTTTGACTTTTCAGAAGCTCCAGCCCCTGAAGGTTGAGCATGATAGGCAAATGAGCATTCCAAATTGTAATAATCTCCACCCTCCTCATCTGCGGCCATTTTTTGAGGATCTTTATTCTTCTCATTTTGTCGATGAATATCATCCTTTATTTCTTGAACATGGCCATCCGGGAGGGAGCGTAAACTTAAGATTCGAAAAGGATTTGTTCCTTGATTGATTTCTGCCACTCGGACATTCTCGATAACACTAGGTACTGAAGCTTGCATAACATCCTCAAGAGTATCTGCAACAGAGACAAATAAATCGGGATCAATAAGTCCCCACATGATCCCCATGAGGCTATTTATCCATTCAACGGATTCAGGAATTAGATTTGCAGTGGCCTAAGAATGTTAGCTCTAAGTATAAACTGTGAATTAGAATTTGCCAACCATTTGGCCTCTTTGCCTTTCACTCTCCCATTCATTAGCTCGACCAGATTTGATCACCTCTTTCATCCAAAGAAATACGGCTGATGCAACACATGCGCCCAGCGGAATGAGGCCATATAAAGCACCACCAAAAAATCTTCCCAAGACCACGATAGCCAAGAATATTCCCACGGCAAGTGCCGTGGTTCGATTCTCGAGAGATTTGTACATTGGTTCATAGCTGATGGAGGGTGTAGGATGAAATAAAATGTTTGTCTTTTCTCCATGAATTGGTACATCGGAAGTACTTCCAGGTTCTACTGGTTCTGGTGGTGCAGTAGTATCTTGATTATTTCTGTATTCCTCCCCAGATTGAGTTGCTTCTGTCTTTCTTGTTGTCGGCTTATTGAGATTCGCATTTGGCACGGAAAGCTGATTTCATAAATGTCAGCGAAACTGTAAAGATCGAGTAGGACTCGCGGAACTAACATACCTGTGGATCATCCACCGCCTTCATGAAATCTGCATTGACATCCTCAATTTCCACATCCTTTCCAGTTGTTGGATCCGTCACGATTTTCCTTGTTCCGTCAATGCCACTTGGTTGTCCTTGCTTTTGATCTTTCGGCTGAGCTTGCGTACGTGAATCCAGCTGCGCATTAATCTTTGCATCCCTATCTCTCTTCTCGGAATCTAAAGTTTCCACAAATCGTTGAATATTTGGAATTGGATTGGCCCCGGAGTAATGACCTCCAGGAACTGTCTTTGACTCGGTCGACATCTTTAGAGGGGAAAAAGTAATTGGTTAGAGGTCGAGTGAAAAGGTCGCAGGGTGGGGAGAGGGAGGTAGATGCGGGCGGATTCTTGGTCAAACAAAACAGCAAATAAAGCAAAGTAAAGTAGAGTTCTGATATGGAATAGAATTGAAGATACCGACCTATTTTCAAGATAGGTTTACATACAGTTCTGAAAGTATTTTGGTGATGTATGTTTGAATTTTGTGAAGGAAAATTGACTGGGTATCATCAACATGAAGAAGGAAATAAAGAAGACATTGAAGGGTATTTTACATTTGCCCCGAGTCCCTACCTAGGTAGGGAGCCATCATAAAAGAATTGCTGGTATGGAATTGCATTGTAAGTCGTACGAGGATAACAAGGAAAAAATGGTGATGTCATATCGTGTGGCTTCACGAGCGACATTGGCCAAGCATCAGCCACGCAATCACAAAGCGGGAGTGACTTGACATAAGGGGAAAAGAGAAAAGGGAAAGGGCAAATGAAGATGAATTCTTGATTTATCCTGATCTTGATCTAGAACAATTCCACAACACAACACACCAATTGATACCAATCTCTGATTGGATGATATCTGGGTGTTGAGGCTCATCAAGGCGAAGATGAGCTCCAAAAGTCTTTCATCGGGGAGCGTTCTCCGAATTTAATCTTCTCCACTGAAGCTTCTTACCCCTTTCGGATGGATGGATGGTGATCTGTGCAGGTTTTTGATGGGTCAAGATTAAAGCCTTCCGTAGTACCAGGGGAAACTTGTTGGGATTAGATGGGACAACTTCAAACCGTTAATATTTCTCCCCATTCATTGGTCTGCATTGCATCATTTAAACCAGTTTCTGACCAATCAAATCGGAGATAAATATGGAGATAGCAAGGTCCATTTGACCCCGCTGTCGTGCTCTTCTACATCAAGAAAAGACGAAAAGACAGCAAAACAAGAAAACGAGACATTTCATCTTCATTCTTCATCTCTGGCGATCGCTGATTCCCTTCGGACCCCAACTTAATTTGAACTATGGGACACACTCAATTCATCAACTGTCGAAAATGTATCCATGGTGACCTACTCGACACTCCCCTTACCATCGACGACAAAGGCATGATAATCCCCAACGAGGAGTGTAACCCCGATGCCCAAGTGGTAGATCTCGAGAACCATATCGTCGCTCCTGGTTTCATCGATTTACAAATCAATGGTGCCGTGGGCTTTCATTTTACAGAATATGTCGATCCGATCAGCTACCAAGATGGTGTACGGAAATTATCGCAATATCTTCCAAGCACAGGAGTAACTGCATTTTACCCCACAGTACCTACGGTTGAGCCTGATGTCTTCCGCAATGTCCTACCGTTTCTAAGACCATTTGATTCAGCCACTGGTGCGAGTGTTTTAGGTGCGCATGTCGAAGGACCGTTCCTGGCTCCGAGTAAGAAAGGTGCTCATAATGCGAAGAATTTGCATATTCCCGAGTCATCGTCGCTTGAAACCGTCTATGGTGAACACAACCTCTGCACTGCCATTAAGCTTGTGACCATGGCCCCGGAGCTACCGGGCGCATCGAAACTTATCTCGTTATTGAGCCATCTCTATGGTATCAAGGTGAGTATGGGACACAGTGCAGCTAGTTACGATGAGGGACTCGCGGGCATAAAGGCTGGTGCAAATCTTCTGACGCATACATTTAATGCTATGAATCCTTTGCATCATAGAGAACCTGGCTTGGCCGGTAAGTTGGCATAATTGTACGTGGAATTGACCACTGAACATTCATAGGTATTATATCAAGTGGGACTGTATATTTCTCGTTGATCGCCGATGCTATTCAGTAGGTACAATATTTGACTCTGATGGATGTAAAATTGTGCTTGAGATGTGTGATAACTTTCATATCAAGATCTGTTTCTTTCCAAACGACTCAATTGTGTTAAACCCCCATTCCTTTCGTGGTAATGATTGCAAAATTGATCGCTAGGCTTTCCACTCTTGGGCAATTCCACTTCTTCCATTCTTGTTTTCCTTTCTTTATTTTTAATTTTCATAACTGTTTCCTTGCCTACTACCCCATCTCCTGCTAACAACCAAAAGTCTCCATCCATCAATCATCTCCCTCGCCTACCACTCCTGTCCCAACAAAGCCATCCTAATAACAGATTCCGTCGAGCTCTCCGGACTCCCCGATGGTTTATATCCCGGGCATGCCCAGATCCCAAAGCCACAACTCAAAACCGGAAATAAAGTTACCATTTCCGGAACGGAAACCCTAGTAGGCACTTGTATTACACTAGATGAATGTGTAAGGAATCTCAAAGAATGGGCCAAAATACCTATTCAAAAGGCCATAATGACTGTTACTGAAAATGTAGCGGATGCAATGGATTTAAAGTATAGAGGAAAGTTGGAAGGAGGTAGAAGGGGAGATTTTGTGGTGATGAATGAATGGGGGGTGGTGAGGGAGACTTGGATTTTGGGGAAGAAGGTGTGGAGTATGAATTGTAATTGAATTTATATAATTAATATATCTCAACTGTCTAGGTTTCTTATACAAAGTACCGAACAGCTCGCCCCCAACCATCTATTCTACCAAATCCCCCCAACACTTTATTTGAATCCAATATTTCCTCTTAATCATATATCTTATTCAGAGGCACTTATCACTTTTATAATTATAATACTCTCTTTAAAAAACAAAAAGAAATATTAAAATTATTAATCTATATATTTAATAATACTTTACTTTCTCATCACTTCTATTTTAGATTATCTTTTTAAATTTAAAATCTAAAATCATAATTTTTATTTATTAAATATTTTACAAAAAATAATTAATATAATTAATATTCAATTTAATTAATTATAATTCTAAATATATAAATATATAAGTTTTTATTTTTAATTATTTTAATTAATATTTATAAAATTTAAAAGATTATTGAATTGTTTTATTAATTTTTATTAGAAAGATATTTAAGATTTTTTAAAAAAGATTTAAAATTTCAATTATTAATATCTTGATTTTCAAAATCATAGTATGAGAAAATTAGAATTATAAATTAAATATATAAAAATTTTTAATCAGTTAATTATATAACCTTTTATAATTAAATATAAAGAAAAGTTTTTTATTTTTATAATAACCAATTTTCTATATATATATATTTGAATTTATATAATAACAATTATAAAATTCTCATAAAAAAAAATTTATAAATAATAAATTATAATATAATTTAATTTAGTTTTCTTTTTAATTCTTTTTATAGTGTATTATCGATATATATATTTCGATCTATTATTTTTATAATAATAATCTATATAAAGAATTAAATTATATTGTTTATAAATATATAAAATCTATTTATAAAAATATTATATTAAAAATAAAGTAGAATTAGTTATTTGTTGATAAAAAATAAAATAAATTTTGAAAGGATGAATCTTTCAAAAATAATCGATCTATTTATAAAATATTATAAACATTATCAATTATATAGAAAATCATCAAGAAGATTCAAATTTTTTTTTTCAAAGATATCAAATTCAATTATATTATCTTTATAAATATTATATATATTAATAACAATCTTATATTTTATATTATAAATAAAATTATTCAATATTAAATTATTAAATAATTCGAAAATATCTTTACAAAATATATATAAAATATATTATAAGAATATTAGATTGATATATATATAAAATTATTAGATTATATTATATATAATATAAAAAGAAATTTCATTAATAAAGAATTTAAATAATATGTGAACTTTTTAATAATTATTAAAAAAATATACTAATTAAAGTATACAATTTAATAGATATCATTAAGTGTTTTTATCATTTTTTACAATAGTTTTATAAAATCATTTCAAATAAATTAATTGATATTAGTAAAATATCTATATTACAAATAATAATAAAAACTATCAATAATACAATATCATTCAATGATTTAATATTTATATTATTAGTTTTCGATATATATTTTCAAATAATTAAAATAGATCTATCAACAACTATAATTGTATAAAAAGTTTAAATGATCAAAAAATTAATAATCAAAATATATAAATTATAAACAAAGAAACAAATAAAAGATATATTTAATATACAAAATAATCTATTAATTACAATAATTTATAATTTACCTTTCAATTTCAAGATCCTTATATAACAAAAAGAGAAAGGGATATTATCTGAATAATAAATTTATTTTATAAAATGATTATAATAAAAAAACTTATAAACTCGAATTAAAAAAAGAATCAATGAAATTTTGTTTTATTATAATTAAATCTTTTTATTAACAGGAAAAAGAAATTGATCAAATCGATCAAATTGATCAAATCATATTACAAATTATTTCATTTTGAATTATTATATCATCATTAAATATTAAATCTTGTATACAATTAAGAAATAAATAAATAAACAATTTATATATTGAAATTCTTTTTACAAATGATATTAATATTAGAATCATTATCTATTATCAAGAAATTAATTAAATTGATCAAATTGATTTATATAACAAATTATTCATCAATTATAACAATAAAAACTCAATATATAAAGAATTTAAATAATTAAAGATTAATGAGTTATTTAAAAATGAAGTCTTCTAGTTAATAATCTTAAATAAAATATTATAAAGGATTAAAATATTCAATTTTATATTTATAAATGAAATAAAGAATAAAAGAATAAAAGAATAAATAAAACATATCTCAAATCATAATTTATAATTCAAGTTTTCAAAGATTAAAAGAAAATTATTATCTTGATATAATTATCTACTATTCAATATATCAATCAATGTATCTTAATAATGTTAAATATATACCTCAAAAAGACTATAAAAACTAAAATCTATTTAAAGAATATTATATAAACTTATATTCAAACAACCTTGAATCTTTAACAATTATTCTATATTCGATCATCAATCTAAATAAGATATAATAAAAATACAATTCTATATATTTGTCATGATTCACAGTTTTCATTATAATAGTATTATTAATATCGATGATTTATATACCAATTATAAAAAGGGTATGATTTAACTATTGTTTTCAAAGGCCTTAATCACTTACAAATAAAACCTCAGGATTTCTAAAATAAGTATTCTAGATAATTATATTAGATTAGAACAAGTATTCTAATTAATTAATTATAATAAAATAATCACTCTAAAAGATATTATATTCTAAAATTGTAATTCCTAAAGGAAAACTTCTGGGACAAGTATTCCAGGAAAGGAAAGGTCTCAAGAAAAAAGAAGCTTTAGAATTAATCATATAATATACTAATTCTACTAGCCAGTTAGCAAAATTAGTATTTCAAGAATACTAATCATATTAATCAATTAATATAACTAATATACAAAGAAGAAGATTAATATATAATTAAAATAATTTTATTGTTTAAAATTTTTATATTTAATTTAGTTATTAATTAGTTTATCTATATTCTAATTAATCTAATAATGAATTCATTTTCAAATAGATAATTAATAATTAATAATCTTAACCTATAACTACTAATCATACAAAACCTCAGACAACTATTGTCTCGATCAGATTATTATATTTTGAATATTATTATAGTTAAACTATAAATAATATAATGGCTTTCAATCAATAATCCACTGAATGATCTCTTTTCAATTCAATCAAGGCTTTTATTCAGACTATTATAATAATAAAATATAAATAAACAATTCAGATATCTATTCTTGATTTATTTTATAGAAATTGTAATAAATATCGAATTTTTATTATATAAATTGATCTTTATTATACTTTTAATAGAAAACTTTTCTTGATTTCTATATAAAGAATCTTATAATTGATCTTCTTTTTCTAAAGAATTATAATTAATTGAATTGAATCATTTTTTAATAATTTAATAATCAAGATTATTGATAATCAATTAAATAAAAATATAAAATCTGAAATTCATTATCTCTTTCTCAATTACGAATTATTCAAATAAGGATTTGATAAAATATTCGAAAAAGTAAACCCTAATTATATAATTGAAAGAATATTACAATAATTTAGATAGATCGAATCAATTATAATTTATATTATTAAATTTCAATAATATATTGAATATATTATATAAAATGATAACTATCTAAAATCACAATTTTATAAAAGATTAAAAAACATTATAAAAGATAAATTAATAAGAGTTTTAAAATTGTTTAATTTCTTTGAATTAATTAAAATCTTTATTTTCATCAATAATTGATTTTATAAACAACAAATAAAAAAGAAAGAAATCATTTAAAAAAACAAGAAGTTTCAAAAACCTTATTATCAGAACAAATATTATAATATTAATGATTCAATAAAATTAGATAATATCGAATAATGTTATATAAAACTAAATAATTTAAATATTAATAAGAAGAAGAAATATAAAGAAAATAATTTATATTATATTTAAAAAAAAAATGGATATATATTTAAAGATTGTTTTCAAAAGAAGAAATCATTCATTATAAGAGATAGAAAATATATAAAATTTGAGAACAAAAAACAAGGTTTTTAAAAAATAAAGATTTTAAAAAAATTTTTATAAGAAATAAGATTATTGAAAAGGGATCTATCTCAATTCAATTTTGAATAATTAAAGGAATTGAATATTAATATCTAAAACTCTAAAACTAATATGGAAAACAATATCAATTGTAAAAATAAATCCTTGAAAAACCTTGAATTAAAGGATAAAGAATTTATTGAGGAATTCGAAAAAAATTAATAATTAATTGAATCTCATTAATTATTCTATAAAAATGAATTATAATATCTAATCAATTATTTAAATAAGAAATGTATTTGATATTATTATAAAAAGAAGAAACTAGATTTTATTAAGAAATATAAAATTTATAAATATTCTATTTTATTAATACTTTATATAATAATATAAAACAATATATATTATATAATATTTAAGAAGAATATTGAGATAAATAATACTAAAAGATATATTGTAGATTTAAATTCTTTTTATATTAATGAAATATTGTAAGAAAATTGGAATTATAAACCAAATACATAAAGGTTTTAACTAGTCAATCATATAACCTTTTATAGTTAGATATAAAAGAAGAGCTTTTTGTCTTTTCTTTTTATAATAATCAATTTTCTATATATATATATTTGAACTTATATAATATCAATTCCAAAACTATTGTAAACCCTGTTTTATTTATAAATGATATATTATAATATAATCTAATTTAGTTTTCTTTTCCAATTCCCTTTTCATAATATATTATCGAGATATATATATCTTGATCTATTACTTTTATAATGATAATCTATATAAAGAAATCGAATTATATTGTTTACAAAATATACAAAATCAATTTATAAGGATATTATATTGAAAAAGAAAGTAAAATCAGTTATCTATTAATAAAAAAATGAAATAGATTTTGAAAGAATAAATCTTTCAAAAATAGAAATGTCAAATAAAGAATAAAAAAGGTTTGGATTCCTAATTATTTTTATTCTTACTAACTTATTATATTACAAATAAACGATTTATTATTAATTCATTTATTTATACTTTATATAAAAGATTTATATTGATAAAGTTTTATTCAAAATTAAACTTTAATGATTTACAAAAATAAAAAAGATTTGATTT